TTAAACTGAGAAAACCTGATAAGTACTGAAATAGAAATAAAGTATTAGAATCAATGTATAAGTTGGTCATAAGCCCTTGGTATAAATAGTCTGACATCACGGTTTAACTTGGGCTTGTTGCGTTTTATATTGATGGCCTCGAGAAGTTTCCTGGTTTTCTTCTGGTGATGATGTACTGCAAGGTTTCTTGTTTGGTCCCACAAGATTGTATGATGTTCGTTGTTAATAATGTGCTCTGCTACGGCTGAGGGATTGGTGGAAGCTAGTGACTTGTGCTCTTTTATTCGTACATCAAGTGGGTGCTTTGTTTCCCCTACATACTTTTCGGAGCAGGAGGATGTTATCTCGTAGATCTACGATTAGCTTGCAGTAAATTCTGTATGGTTCTGCCACTAGAGAAGGTAACGTCTATGCCCACTTCTTGTTTCATTAACCTTTTGATCTGGTAAGCGATTTTGCCGTGAAACGGGATGGTTATTCTGATGCTGGAGTGGTCAGTATTTGGCGTTCTTGGCTTGTGTTGGTTCTCTATAGTGGGATGATGACTTCATTGACTAGTTGGGTGGGGTTCCTTAAATGCTCTAATTCCTCGGGTAAATTTTCTTCATCACATATCTTGGTGGCACGTCTGGTTTAGAGTGGTGATGATGGATTTCTTTATTTGATGTGAATGATTTAAATTTTAGTGAATGTATTGATCAGTGTGAGTTGGTTTCCTATAAACAACAGTGGAGAATTTGTTTTCAGATTTAGTCACTAAGACATCAAGAAATGGGAGACTGTCATCCATTTCTGTTTCCATTGTGAATTTTATCCTCGTTTGTCGACTGTTCAGATGTTGGAGTAGCGTATCTAGGTTGTCGTTTTGATCGAGGACCACAAATACATTATCGACTTTACGTACCAAGAAAGGGGTTTGATGGGGGAAGTCTGTATTGCATCAGTTTCAAACCTTGTCATGAATACTTTGGACAGAAGTGGCGAAAGTGGGTTACCCATAGACAGGCCATGTGTTTGTTGATAATATTCATCACCCCATCTAAAGTAAGTGGCAGTTATACAGAGATGTAAAAGTTGAATGATATTATCAGTGGTTACTGGTTAGATTCGTGTCCAGTGGGGTCTCTAATTCATTGATTTTCTTTTTAAGTATTTGGAGGGGATGTAGTCATAACGGCCCTAAACCATAACGGCCAAAAACAGGTTTGGTCAAAACGGCCAAACATTTTTAATTTAATGAAAAACAATATTTGAGTAGATATAACTTACCTTTGATAAAAAAAACAACTGACAATTAATCTTTGATAAAAATAACAACTGACTATTAATCATTTGACAAAAATAACAACTGACTATTAATAAAAATAACAACTGACTATTAATCATTTCACAAAAATAACAATTCATTCATCAGATAATCATTTGAACATGGTTTCAACTAATTATCCTATCCAATTTAAATACCCTTTGATAATCTCTTTGAAGATGGCTACATGGGATTAGTGGTGATTAGTATTAACACTTTGGCTTCACCAGGGAATATGTAGCCAAGCCTTGAAATAACTGCTAAGGTTCAGCCTGACATCATGTCAGGCTGAACTGATTTTCGGCCGGACATTTCAGATTTTCAGCCTGACAAATACTTTATAAAGTATATTAAACCAAAAAACTGTTGAAATTTACTATGTTTATATATATTATTATACATACATTTATTAATAAAATAAATTGATGACTCACATACAACCTGGAGTTTTAAGTTTTTATATGTATATGGAATACAACTTTATAGTTCATATAATAATGTCATTAATCTCTTTGGTTGGGCTGGGGACTAAATCCTAAAAACTCTGATTAAGATTCAAATTTAACTAAAGAATAGACATCTTAATTTAATATGAGTTGTCGTAAATGGTTCAGAATCTGCCAAGTCATTTTTGATCCACTTTTCTAGTTCTACGGCTCGTTTTTGTAATTTTCCAACTGGTGACGGCGACGCCCCCCGTTTAGAAGTGTCTTTATGAGAGACATAAGATTAAGACACAGTACCAGTCTTTGAATTTTCTGGAACGGTCCCACTAGCCGGGATATCCGTGTCCGAGGGTTGGGAAAAGTAAGAAGTTATTTTATTCGACATGTTTTCACGGCTCTTCTATTTACATTCACATTGGAAGTGTCCAACAAAGTGAGATATTTTCGTATAAAAAATCTGTCCCTAATTACATCCATAGTCAACTTGGACATTTTCTTGTAAACTAATTTTAAAATATTATTACTTTTATAACTAATAATTTATATAATTACATGTCATGTTAGGTGTGATTTAGAGCTAATCATATACGAAAGTAATGCAAAGCTAGCTACGAGACTCGAATAACCAGTGTAAAAGAGCCGATTCTCAATATTATTCATTATTTTTTCTTCACGTGGCCGAGAGAGATACATGTATAAATAGTAATATTTTTACTATGACTCGGGTCGTTGATATAACCAGCGTAAAAGAGTCGATTTAAAAATTATTGAAGATTTTATCTGCACGCGGCCGAGATATAAATAGTAACATTTTCACTATGACTCGGGTCATTGATATTTTTGGTTCTGGACTTTCGAGTCTAATAATAAATAGCGATCGACTCAAATATTTTTGACATAATGTTTTACAAAAACACGGTCGGACAATTATGTCCGGACGAAAGGCAATTTGGCCTGTCAAAAGGGGTCAATTCGCCCGGACATTGTCCGTGTCCGGACGCTTATTTCAGCGCTTGTATGTAGCCTATAAATGACCATCACTACCCCTTTACCAGGAACAAGATATGGCTGCTTCAATTCCAACTAATAATAAATATGTCACCATGCAAATTAAAAGTTATAATTACAAATTACAATATAATTGCAAATTATGATATTTTTTAGGTAAATGAAGATGCAATACCAGATGATTTTTTGCGTGCTGATGTAACAGTGAAAGGGGAAAGGCACTTGATATTTTCTACAACTCGACAATTAGCTCTGCTAGCTAAATCCAGTCAATAGTTTGTAGATGGGACTTTTAAGATTGTAAAAAAAAACATTTTATCAACTTGTATCCATACATAGTTTTGTAAAATCAGGTAGTCAGATGAAAATGGTGCCCCTTTGCTATATTCTAATGTCAAGAAGAAGGAAAATAGATTACATAAAAAAGTATTTATAAAATTGGTGGAATTGTTACCAGAAGAACCGAATGTTAAGTGTACCACAATGGACTTTGAAGCGGCAACATGGAGGGCATTTGAAAAAGTACTGCCGGACGTGAAAGTGAAAGGTTGCATTTTTCACTTTATCCAAGCTATTTGGAGACGGTGTCAAGAGCTTGGTTTGCAGGTAACTTGATTACTTTATAATGACAGCATTTTGATCACTTAGAGGCAGTAATTTAATTTATTTTCATAGAAAGTGTACTGAACACACAAAGCCACATCATTTTGTAATTTGTTTTATGATTTATTTTCAGAAAAAGTACAGGACACACAAAGGCACATCAGAGTTTATAAGGAAATTAATGAGCCTGCCATTTCTACCAAAATCCCACATACTTGAAGTATTCCAGCAACTAAAAGCCAAGACTATGTGCCCAGATTTACTAGAATTAACAGAGTATGTCCAGGGACAATGGATGCACCACTCCATTTTTAAAATTGGATCCTGGTCCGTATTCGACCAGACCATACGAACTAATAACCACGTTGAAGGTGGGTATCTTTGACTTATTCATGAAATTATTCATGAAATTATTTATGCCAGTAATTGAAATAATTAGTTTAATATTTAATTTAATATCCCCAATAAAAATATGTTTTTAATATACTGTCCCCAATAAAAATATTTTTTTTTAATATACTGTACTAAATAAATATGTTTTATTTCCTTCAGGTTGGCACAGGAGAATCAATAACAAGGCTGGAGAGCAGAAGTTGGGGCTTTACAAACTGATAAATTTTCTGTTTGATGAGGCCCAGCTTCTGCCGCTCCAATTTGCTTTGATATTTGAGGGAAAACTACGTCATTATTTGATAAAAAATAGAACAAATAGACAGGATGAAATTTTTAATTCCTGGAAGGAATACAAAGAAGGCAATATTAGTGTGTCTATGCTGCTACGTTTATGTACAAGAGTACATGGTCCGGTCCAGTAGTTTAATCAAGATATATTAACCAAATATTTATTAAATTTTGTAGTAGATATATTTTGTATGTTTTACATCTATATTATATTTTGTATGTTTTACGCATTATGTTAAATCTCGATGTTTTTGATGTATTAAATGTTTTACATCTATATTATATTTTGAATGTTTTACGTATTATGTTAAATCTCTATGTTTTTGATGTATTAAATGTTTTGTTGTATTAAATTAATGGTTATAAAATGTATATATCTATATTATCTATATCTATATGTTTTTGTTAATAAATATCATTTCCTACATGTAAAAGATTTTTTGTTTTTAGTGGGACTGTTATGACCAATGTTTTGTCCGTTTCGACCAAATTTTAGGGCCGTTATGACCAAACTATTTGGCCATTATGGTTTAGGGCCATAATGTCTATAACCCATTTGGAGTGTCTGAGCTGTGGGGATATTAGTGAACAGGTCTACTACATCATAGGAAAGAATGGTGCCGGTTGATGGGACGGATGACAGTTTAAATGGCAAAAGTCGCTGGAGTCGGCATCTCAATGTTTTTAGCTGGGGAGAAATTAGACATGAAACTAGCTACGGCAGTAGAATTTAGTGGGTGTCTAAACAATACACTGTGAGTTTATATAATGTACAAAAGTAATTTTAAATATGTAAATGTATGGAATAATTAATATAATATAGGGCCTGACAAATCAAATGGTTAGTTTAGGCTTCAACGCAAAGTTGTGATCAATAAACGACTGCTATAGATCTACATGTATTTAATACACACACATTTCCTAAAACTTGAAAGAGTAATTTTGTTTTTACTTACGCCTTTTATTTTTTGTCCCGTGTTTCTTCGCTGTTGCAATTTCTTGGCCGATTTTCTTTTCGAGGAAGTCAGATTTTTTAAGTAACATCTCTTCGACTTCACGAAGTCGTTGGATGGCTTCGGCTGGCGAAGGAACCTGGTCTTTCTTCCCACCACCAAATAATTTTGCTAGTAAACTCATTTTTAAAGTATGTATGATTTACAGTATTGAAGGAATATAAAATAAGCACCGCAGCTCACCAAAGAAGACTATAACTACCTACTTATTGTGCAAGTTTTCCTGTCACTGAGTCACAAAAACAGGATGTTGTTTAATGCGTGGAGCATTCTGGTATTGGGTTAATTCGTATCAGAAAAACTGAAGATAATTCGTGACTCTCCATTGTATATTATAGGCCTATATAACACATTTTGATTTGATTATGTTTAGTTTCTTATTTAACTGAAATCTCTCAAACAGTTTTATTACCTCCTAAACCTACAAAGGAAAATGACTGGGGCTATTGTGGTAAGATAATCCGGAGACTATATTTGCCACACGTGGCAAGTCTCCGTACCGCAATTACCAACCGATTTCAATGAAACTTACAGATAACGATAACATTAATAATATCGCAGAGTAGGTAAAATTCCGACCACTTCCGGTTAGCGGTTTCGGAGATATCAGGTTACCACACATTTCATGTGGCACAGCTACAGATCACAATTATCAATCGATATCTATGAAACTTACAGAATATGATAACATTAATAATATCTCAGAGTAGCCAAAATTTCGACCATTTGTCAGCGGTTTCCGAGATATCAGGTTACCACACATTTCATTTGGCACGGCTACAGACCACAATTATCAACCGATTTCCATGAAACTTACAGAATATAATAACATTAATAATATCTCAGAGTAGGCAAAATTTCGACCACTTATAATTCCGGTTAGCGGTTTCCAAGATATCAGGTTACCGCACATTTTATGTGGCACGGCTACAGACCACAATCAACTGATTTCAATGCAAGTTTCATTGAAATCGGTTGGTAATTACGGTCTGTAGCCGTGCCACATGAAATGCGTGGTAACTTGATATCTCAGAAACCACTAACCGGAAGTGGTCGAAATTTTGCCTACTCTGAGATATTATTAATGTTATCATATTCTGTAAGTTTCATGGAAATCGGTTGGTAATTGTGATCTGTAGCCGTGCCACATAAAATGTGTGGTAACCTGATATCTCGGAAACCGGTAACCTGAAATGGTCGAAATTTTGTCTACTCTGAGAGTGAGATATTATTAATGTTATCATATTCTGTAAGTTTCATGGAAATCGGTTGATAATTGTGGTCTGTAGCCGTGCCACATGAAATGTGTGCACATGGTAACCTGATATCTCGGAAACCGCTAACCGGAGGTGGTCGAAATTTTGCCTACTCAGAGATAATAATATTATTAATGTTATCATGTTCTGTATGTTTCATGGAAATCGGTTGATAATTGTGGTCTGTAGCCGTGCCACATGAAATGTGTGGTAACCCTCATATCTCGGAAACCGCCAACCGGAAGTGGCCGAAAGTTTTGCTACTTAGAGATGTTATCAATGTTATCATAATCTGTAAGTTTCATTAAAGTCGGGTAACAACTGCGGTCTGTATAGTCGTAAGGCTATTTTGAAATTCTTGCTTACCACGTGTGGCAAATAGCCACTGTCAAGGAAAAAATTCGCCTTTTGGCTCAAATAACGAAATTATGTTTTGTTACGGATCCATAGGTGTACGAGGCGTTGGGGCCGGGAGGGCACCGGCCCCCCAAATATTTTCATGAAAAAAAATAGAAATCTGAAAAGAGCTCAGAATTGTGAGATTGGTCATTAGCCGAGGAGTTTTTGAAAATGGGGTAGGGGTATGGCCTTGTCGGGGAAGGCTATGGTCTTGTCGGGAATGAATGCTCAGTTTGTCGGGAAGCGTCGCGCCGTCTGTCGGGTTTTGAATATTTTTAATAATATGGAAGCGGAAAGAAAGCAGTCCAGTCAATGATGAACACGTACGCCATCTGAATAGAACTAGCACGTACACATGGCCTTTCTCAGTTCTTGAGTACTGTGTTCCTGTATACTGGCATCCAACTCCATGCACCGGACGAGCCCAGTGATAGAAGTGAGCAGCTGAAAAGCAGTATAAACCCTGATAAAAAATGTGAAGTCTCATGAAATGAAAAATGTGGCAAAAGTAAATCGTTCGACTTGTTCTTGTTTTCGTAGTAATAGAGCTTGTATTTTAAAGATGACTTTTTACCAGTTTTTATGCTGCAACTGACATAATTTACTACCCGGGGGGCACACCCGGCACAGTAGGTATTTTTAGAGCTATGCTCGGGGTGGGGGGGGGGCATTGCTGATACAGCGCGCACGTGCTAACCATTCGACCCCCCCCCCCATTCTTTGTCATATATATTTCTCAAACCACATGTACTACTCTCTCTCTCTCTCAATAATAGTTTTGTAATGGTATGTTAAAATGTGAATTGATATTCTTCATGAGTTCATTTTGCATAATTACCCTAAATTCACAAATTTAAGAAACCCATAAAATAAATTATGGCTTCATATTCCGGTCGATTTATATACTTTTTATATTCTGTCATCCTGATCTTGTTCTAAAATATCTTTTTTTTTGGACGGAAATGCAAGATAAATAACTGATTTGTCCTGTTGCTTCACCCATGACAATGTTCATCTGATTTTGATGAAACTTGAAATGCATGTTTATAACCCAAAGATCTTGGTTCCCTTCGATAATGTGCAGTCTCTCTAAAAGTAACAATTTTTATCCGATTTAAAAAAACCAAAAAAAAAAAAACCCACAAAAAACGTTTGAAATCACCGTTACAGCCTATTGATGGTTGAGTTGAGTTCGAATTTCGTGAAAATCGGACTAAAACTGCTGAACAAAATGACAGCCCCTCTTACGCAAATAGTGTAAATATATGGTATATCAAGGTTGTGGACCCTCTAGAGGCCACAATTTTGATCCGATTTTGATGAAACTTGAAACATATGTTTATAATCCAAAGATCTTGGTTCCGTTCGATATTCGCACATATCGGATTGTAATTTCCTGATTGAGTTCGAATTTCGTGAAAATCGGGCCAAAACTCTCGGACAAAATGGCCGCCCCTCGTACTCAAATAGTGTAAATATTATATGGTATATCAAGGTTGTGGATCTCTAGAGGACACAGGTTTGATCCGATTTTGATGAAATTTGAAATACATGTTTATAACCCAAAGATATGGGTTCCTTTTGATATTCACGCATATCGGATGGTTACTTCCTGAATTATGGCCCTTGATTGTACGAAAAATCACTTTTTTAGCTTGTGGTCCCTCTAGAGGTCACAATTTTTATCGGATTTAAAAAAACGTTTGAATATATCACCGTTACACCCTAAAGATGGTTGAGTTAGAATTTCATGAAAATCCAACTGAACCTGCCCGACAAAATGTCTGCTCCTTTCAGGCAAATTGTGTACAAGTATGTAATACGAAGGTTGTGGACCCTATGGAGATCACAATTTTTGCCCGATTTTGATGAAACTTAAAATATATCTTTATATCCCAAAGATTGGAGTCCTTTTCGATATTCACTCATTTCTGACCATAACTTCTTGGGTTATGATCCCTGATTGTACGAAAAATCGTGTTTTTTGGGGTTTTTTTTATAATTTTTTTAGCTTGTTCTCTGTCCATCTCTTGCAAAATGGAGGCGTATCTTGCCTGACAGCCGCTGGTTAATATTTAGTATAAATCTTTCATTTGGTGTTATATTACTTGTTTATGTTCATAGTTTTCATTTTTGTTTTACTTATTACTCAATCTGATTAAAACACAGATCCTATTTCGTTTCGTTTTTTATAGTTCAAGATTTCGTTTTACTTGTCTTTACTGCACTAGGATTTGGAAGTGTTGTTATCATTGACCTGTTCTGGATAATGTGAGGGATTAGCCAATGAAACGGTCTGTTACGGTGAGCTTTTGCGTGAGGTGCACGGAACTGTGGGTAATCCACTAGAAACATCAATGCTGATTGGTTAATCAAATGTCTGACGTCATAGGGTCAAAATCCGCTCGTATGACCTGTGACGTGTCCTCCCAAAACAACTGGTCGAAAGTATAAAAAAAAACGAAACGAAATATAGGTCTGTATTTTAATCAGATGGACTTATTACTATTTCTACTTAGGTTTATTAACTTGTTATTATGCACATCAACCATTTCATTTTGCCAAAATGCCAGGCTAACGTTAGTAGGACTGGAAATTAATGAACTGTATAGCTCGGTCATATAGGCTTAGGGAAAGATTATCGCGAAGATCATCATGTTTCGCCATGGTCTACGGGAGCTCATCAAATGATAAACGGTATCATGTGTTGTCATACAAGTATTGGGATGGGAATAGGCTACTGATACTGATTTCATTTGGGAGTACACTTATTCAACTTGCAAAATATAATAATTAATACTGCCTTATTCAGGGTAGCCAAAATAGATCGCAGGACGGGCGGAGGGGTACAGATTTGGGAATGGGATATCACAGGGCTATCGGCAAACTTTGGGTCGCGAAAAAGGCTGTTGGGGGACTTATATTGGGTATTTTGGGCGAATTGTATGCTGGAGATTTCAAGTAGATCTAGGTAAATCTGGTTTTTACTGTAATACAATCTAGTTTTCATTTTAGTTATAGGTAGCGTTTTTTAGTTGCTAAGTTTCTTAAGTATCCACATTTAATCTAACCACAACTTCTATTCAACACAGTAATGTTTAAGATAACGGTTTGTCCTTGGCTAAATAATTAGCATGCAGATATGATGCAAGAAACCTTTACTAATATAATAATAATATGTTGAATACTTTCATTTATGGAAACTTTGCTTGAAAAACTGATTATCACTGAAATTTTCCCGAACACATCACCACACAAGAACAAAAGCAACACGATTTGTTTATCAAATTATTTACACAATTTGACCAATTATTAATTATGACACTTCATGTTAACGGCAATACTATATACTGGAAAACACCGACACACACCGGAAAACAACCGGAAAACACCGGAATCTACTGGAAAACACCGGAAAACACCATGTTATGCTGAATACCGGAAACACCGGAAAAACAGTAAATACCGGAAAACACCCTAAATATGCAACCCAGAGCCTGGTCCTCTGTTTGCAGGGAGTTAGTGTTAAGGTTAGGTTTTCCGGTGTTTTCCAGAGGACCAGGCTCCGAGTTACCTGTTTAGTGTGTTTTCCGGTATTTATTTTTTTTCCGGTGTTTTCCTGTATTCAGTATAACATGTAGTTTTCCGGTAGTTTTCCGGTGTTTTCCTGTAGTTTTCCGGTGTTTTCCGATGCTTTCCGGTATATAGTATAGCCCCTGGTTAACATAATGTAAATATTTAACATAAAATATTGTCAATGCCCTAATTGTCTTTCTAAAATACAGATTAGCATAAAAATATATTATCCAGATTGCTATATGTTTTTTTGTTTTTTTTTTGGGGGGGGGGGGTAAAAAAAAATGCTCAGAAGTTATCTAGATATATTCCAAGTTGCACTGTTGAGTTGTATGTAGACTATTGGTCTATATAACAAACAGTAAACAAAGTCTCTATTCTATGGATTAAAAACTGATTACAAACTTTATAGATTAAGTATAGCGTATATATCAAAAGTTATAATGGTTATTGTTCAGTTAATTATTTTATTAATTTTCACTATTTTCACCATTTTCACTAATTTCACCATTCGCCAGAGCTTCTTCCGGGGTTAAAGCAAGGGAAGTATCACCTGGCATGGCACAAAGCCATAATTCATCAGTCGAAAGAGGGTATCTGTGGCATTGTAATTTACCAGGCCAGGGTAAACCACCAAACAGTCTGGAGTACGTGCTCTCGCAATCAGACTTCACAAGTTCACAGATCTCACGACATGGCAAAGCGAAGGGGTTTTCAGCCCTAGTACAGAACGGCTGATATATTCCACAAAGTAAGAAAGCCAAGTGCTCCGAACATCCACTATCAATGAGAACTCTATATTCATCCAATTCACGATGTATGTCTTGCTTTGAACACTGCAAAAACATGTTGGGTAACATTCCTAATGGGAAGTTTAAACCTTGGCAGAAATCATGTTCGTTTCTTTGACACGTAACATGTTGGTTCGCACAGCGTGGACGTTCAGAAACAGGGGGTATACATTTCTTTGACTTTCTCGGTAGAAGCGTGTTACAGTTAAAATCTGTCGGCCATTCTGACTGAAGTTCCCTCATTTTGGTTCTACACCTCCTGGCTCTTCTACACGTTTCTTTACATGGTTTGAGCCCACCTTCCACTCCAGTATTTCCGGGACATTTTGGAAGATACATTCCACACGCAAGCACCCTGAAATTACGACTGCAGCCAATATCCATGAAAGGCCAAAGATATTCCAAAGATCGGTATACTTGCATTTGAGTTGTGTGACCAAATTGGTTTGGAAGATGTGTGCGTCTGTAGCCGACTAAGCCACGACACATCGGCAAAAATATTGTTTCGCATTGCACTGGTGTGGAATTGTCCGTTGTCGTTGTTGGTAATGTAGTCCGTCTTCTGGAATTAGGCCGTCTTCTTCTGTTAGGTCGCCGCTGCCTTCTCCTTGTTTCACAGTTTGTTAATTCTAATAAACATAGAATAATGATTAAACATGACATGAGCTTGAAATCTTTAGCCACCTTCATGTTCAACGTCAGGTAAGTGATATAACAGATAAAAACTAGTTCGGGGTCAGAATTTGTCTCGGTTAAGATTAGGCGCGGACTTTACTCAAGGTGTGCTGTCAGCAGTGTACGGAAATAAACTAACAAATTATTGACTTAATTAAGCGCACTTAGCAATGTTGACCAGACTAACCCCCATAACAGACCATTTTAAGCCCAAAAACTCGAAACACATAATGCTAAAAATACACCTTAAATTATTTTATCTCCACTAAGCGAAATCATACATTCGAATCAATGCATACAAAAATATTGTGTAACACTGTGTGAAATATGGAAGATTAGTATGTTTATCTGTTATCGTATCGTGGAACATGTTCAGTGTGATATGTTATCTTTGTTTCACTGGTTAAATGATACATTTAAAATATTTATAAGATATGTTCTGACTTAGGACATTTTCCCCAGAAAAAGTTTCTTTAAACATTCTTAAATATGTAACGGTAGACTTAATTTTGATGTATGATTCGTAGAAATTATTGACCTATAGGGTGCCAGAATAAAATGCGTAAAAAATATGTAACACCAGAAACGCCCTGAACGACAGATGAAATCGAGAAAAGAAAGTTTGAAATTTGAGTACAGGTTTTGGTTCTGCGGTTTCATAAATTTATGAAAATTGGATAGTTTTCATGATATCAAAAATAGTTGTAAGAATGCTTGTTTTCTTCTTTTGGTTCGTTCAAAATGTGTACGCATAGCTTCGAGAGTTTTATGAATACACCCCCACATTCTGTCCCTAAAATACATTTTTTACATGTGGTATCAGAGTAAATATTGTGCAATGAAATATAGATGACAGGGAAATCGAATGCATAGTCAGCAATACAAAAAATTACAAAGTACGCGAATATCATAAAGGTAATATGTCTACATAACTGGCTTTCTCAGGACAAAGTCGTATATGGTTTTCAAATAGAGTAAGAATACGCTGTCTGAGCCCGGCAATATTATATACCGGAAAACAACCGAAAACAACCGGAAAAACCGGAAAACACTGGAAAACTACCGGAAACACCATGTTATACTGAATACCGGAAAACCACTCAATACCCGAAAACACACTAAATACCGGAAAACACCCTTAATAGAGAGAGAGAGAGAGACATGGGGTTTAACGTCCACTCGACACAAGTAGGTAATTTCGGGACTAACATATGGTTTAATTTTATTTCAATAATTCGCTTGCGCATAGGGGTCTTTAGCAGTGGGAGGAAACCGGAGGACACGGAGAAAACCCACGAGGTTGGACAGGCGAACACCCTAAATAAGTAACATAGGTAAATAGGTATATAGTATAGCCCTCTGCGCCAAATCTTTGAACTTGAATTAGATGCCACTGGAAGGAAGAAGATCTCGCAGTTGTTTAAATAAAATGTACAGAAATAAAAAGTGGCACCCAGTGTTTTAGAAATAACTGTAGTAACTCCAGGGCTATCATTGATCGAAGTAATCTTCTTGGGGCTCTATCCTGTACCCTGTCGTCACCGTGTGATATATAATGTAGGTTTTGTCATCGTTATCAATAAATTAACGAGGCATAAACTTTTAATATTGAGTTGCCTCTAATGGATTATATGTTACAACATCAATTTTAACAAGGCTAGATTATGTAGTGTATGGCTGTCCCCCTCTAAGTATTTTAATGTTTCATTTTGGCTTTCAGATAAATCCCTGGAAATTTTACACACTTAAAATTTAAAAACTAAATATTTAAGCTAATGAATTACGCACAATAATATTGGCGCCACTTCTAATATTTTTGATATTGATATAAGTCATCTACACGTAACCTTAACTGCTTTCCGCTGGACTCCGCGTAATATATTATTTAGAAAAATCCATCCAGATGCATTATATAAGATTTAGACAATGGGCTAGTCATTCTTGTTAAAATAGTTCGAAAATAGATAATGCAAAATGAATATATTGAAAATGTCATTCAAATTAGTCTATTGCGAGCGAAATTAAATGGCTGTCATTGTTTAAATATAAAATGCTAAATAAATCTGACAAGACAAGCGCCCATCCATTCATCTTCTTATTACATGTGAACTCCTCAAATAAAAAAAAATGTATCTTTATATACACAGGGACATGGTAGAAGATGAGTCATCGGCTCAATGGCGCGTACATTGTTTACAAAACGTTAAAGTAGGGTAAAAGCTAAAAGCTAAGACTCCTTGCAGATTTCGTTGTAGCGTTAAACTGGTCAGGGCAGAACGGTGCCTTTACACTAAATAGGAAATATGTTTTACCTATATATGCCACAAACACCTTTATTTATTTTTTTTCTAATACTTCAAAAAATGTTTTGGAATTTAATTTGCAGAAGAAAAAAAAGTGAAAGTAGCCAAGTCTCTAACTCAATATCATCCATAGTCTTCGACATTGAAAACACGAATTATTTGTCAACATTGATGTTGTGATCTTACCGGGAAAAGATGGGCTTCTGATTTCCAATATTTAAACATGCATTATGCAAGAGCAAAATCTGCCTATAACAAGTCTTTCTTTAGGCCTGAAATGTTATCTAAATTATCAATTAGGCATTAATTAACTTATTCAGACCATAATAAACTCTCGATATCAAGGCTAGCCTTCGATGTTGGCTGGATTTGATTTCTATATGCCGCTAACGGCCGTTGATAATTAAATCAGAAAAAGTGGATAATCGAGACTATGCTGTTTATATTAATGATTTTAGTAATGATGACCGAGACTATGCAAAAATTTCACCCGCTTCTTTCTCGGCTCATAGTGGATCAATTTTACTGAAATTTTCAGCAAATTACCTTTACACTATCTAGTTTTTAACTATTATATCTGCCATATCTTTATCTTATCTCCCATAATGTATCTTTAAGACAAAATAGAATCGTGTACCATAATGCTTTTCGGCGCCATTTGTAACAAGGGACTCGAAGAACAAGGCTAGACATATTCCACAAGTCATGTCAAACGGTGACACCACCGTCATGTACATGCACAAAAAATATTATCGGTGTAGACTGGAATAACCAGATTCTAGAGACTGCCATTCGAGTGAAACTTCTGACGTATTTCGCCGAACATAATTGATTAGAAAATACAGTAAAAACAGAAACGATTGAATGTAAATCAGTTTATATACATTCAAATTACATTGTTATATGCGTTGCGACCCATTTGTGTCAATTTCTAGGTCCCAAATATTAGCGATTTAGCTCCTTTAATATTACGACCTCGTAAAAGAAAACTTTGTTGTTCTCTGAAGGGCGGGCTTGACGGACAAAATATTTATTCTACCACACACTGAGCACGCTACCATATATGTATGTATCAGAATGACCAAAGTATTGTAATGGCGAGACGTTAAACTTCACTCCATTATATTTTTAAGACCCCTTTTTAACAGTGACGTCACTTACGTGATAAATAATTACAACTACAACTATATTATGTACACATACGCAGGCTCTTCAAAATGACATAGACACATTCTGTTGTTTAAAACGTAAAGGTTCCTTATCTGTCATCTAATTACCCATGTCAAAAAGACGTAAATAAATTGCATCCCTCACTCATATATAAAGGGAGGGCAGAATGTGACACATCCCTGATGTTGGAATGACAGGCTATTTGACAAGTGTGGATTATTATAGCTGTTCCGTTGTTGAAGTCGTAACACCCTTTTCTTACATTATCACCTGTCAGTCACGATTTTATTATTGAGGATAGTGAGAGTTAGGGATACGAGTTCTTTCATTACACATTTACAGAAGGACACTAAAATGACACGCAGGCGATTTCTGTGTTTAATTGGTGAGTATTTTTTTTAAAAATATTTTTGTTGGGGCTATTTTATTTAGATATATAAAATACAGGTTTCCGTATGCTCGGATTCAAAGTGGATTTTTTGTATTGTTCAGACATGGTTTTAATCGGTTTTTTTTTTCTGGGATCGCGTTATATACAGCAATGGTGCTTAATCCTTGATAATCTAACTTCTGGGAGTTTTGGAAACACCAAAATCCAATCGGTTTTAACAAAACAAATATTAGTTTTATTTCTTTTATATCTTTCCAGTCTTTATTAGCCCTGTCTGTTCAGAAAAATAGGACGTAAAACCCCATTTAATTTTAGTTATTTCTTGTCAAATTTATTTTCTTCTTCTTCTGCTGAATTATATACATGGCTTACAATATTATGTGACAACAGTCGCAAAAGCTAAACATTGTAAATACGAATGTCTGATTGGGTTACCTCAGTGCCAACTGAATTTATTCTTTCTTTTTTCTGCTGAAATGTATACCAAACAGTCGCAAAAACTGAACATTGTAAATACGAATTTGTTGTAATTGGGCAAATTATTGGAATCCAAGGTAATTAGTATACCGGTTGTGTGGACATCAAACACCAGTATCTGTCTACACAATATTGTAAACAACGGTTCGGTATTTATTACTCTCCTGCTTGTTTACCAGCAATGTCTTAACATATTTCTAATACTGGATACACACAAAATTTTTTTTTTCAAAAGAATAAACGTAATGATTTAGTGTGTAAAATTAAACTGTATGATACGTGATACATAAAGCAAATTTTTACGACATAAACAGTATATTTTTGTTTATGCAAACTTAAAAAATGTAATAATATGGTAATATCTTTTAAGAGATGCCCTTTTAACAAAGGTGTAAATTTATTATATATTGGAAGGGATGTTTTGGAAGACGTGGACTGTCACTTGGCTGTCAAGAGGATTAGTAACACGTTATTTCACATCCTTAATTTAGTATTATAGCTACAGGCTACATGTTTATTCTAGTTACATTGACTGGAGTTAAACATCACTTATTGTCATTATTATATTGAACATATTGTACAGATTTAGGTATTAGTTTGTCCTGGTTATTAGCTGAACTATGTCTTTGTCGACTTACTTACAATATTAAAACGGCAACAGCGAATGTATTCGGCACAGCTTTCTCCGCCACCAATACGCCCTCACTCCCACCCCATGCCATGTCCCTTAGGCTACCATTACAATGATATATTTTATCGACTATCTTGTTGACAACCCTTAAGTTTGAATAATGTCTGTGACAGGTAATGTTACAAGCATTATTATTAAAATATAAACATAAAAGGACATTACCCAGAAAGTGATCACGGAAGATTTAAAGAGCAATAGTCCCAAAGCTAAGCAACTCTAATCTCAATAAACTATATAAGCTCAATCTGGATACCAATTAGGACTTTAGACCATTGATTGTTGGTCCATTTAATATTTGACAAATAGGAACACATTACTTGCTATGAAAACTAAACTTAATACCTGTAAGTCTTTCAAAATATTTATTCGCTATAAAGACCCTTTAAGGCTAATCATGGGAAGTTTAGGCGATTTTCAAAATATTTCTCTGATAAATAACAAGATGTAGTGAAGGAGGTAAAGTCGGTTCAAATGGCGGCCTTGCCCTTCACTTTGTGTCTTTTCTGAACATTTAATATTCTAGCATTGTGGATCTGCTTATTTTAAAAGATATTAAAGGAAAGTGTACTGGATATGATAAATAGCGCTAATATCAGGTTATTTTGCTTTTTCAGTTTGTGTGAGTTTTGTATCAGTAGGTATGTATATATTATTACAGAAATAGAGAGAGACGGGTCTATAACGAAAGTCTCTACGGCCAGTCTGCGATCTTCTACTATATATACGGTGCCGAACACACGCAGTTGCATGTACTGCATTCATTTCTGATTCGACATATTAAAACTTCTTATAAATCGTGTACGCTATAATTTATAGATATTTATATACTTTTTGTCAGATTTGCAATAACATATACATATTACAAATCGGAATTTCTCTTGTATTTAAAAACAGCTAACAATTAGTATTGATGAAATATTGTATTTATTTAGAAAAGTACAACAAATATTGGCTGGGTATGAGACCTATCGAAATAGGAAGTGGTATGAGGTGTTTTAGAAAGAGTACACATACTATGAGCATATACCCGAAGTACCAAAATTTTTTTTTGAATGATTACTTTTTATCTATTTTTCCATCCTTTCTGATGTCGGGGAAATCACATCTTATGAATAGAAAGTCGGTTTCAAACTGGTATTTCCTCACAGTCTTATATAACAAGTCTTCATTCCCAGAGAAATGATCAGTGAACTAAAAATCGTATGTGTGCCCGTTACGCCGTCTACTTCCTTTTTTCCTTTTTAGGGGTTTCTACTGGAATCTTTAAATCGTTCTTATGGATCAACCAGATTTATATATTAGAATTACCAGTATTTCTATCACATGATGTATTCTTGAATTGCAAATAAGTTATATTATTTACTTATGATTTGTCCGAAATGATTTTCATAACTAGATGATTGTGTTTCTTTATTCTAGCTGGACAAACCTCCCAATCGACACCCAGTGTCGACAACTCAACTAGCCTTTTCCAAACAACAGACACACTTTCGAATAACCCTAGTAATGTCGCCCCTTCAGCACCGACAGTTAATTCGTCAACATCTACGCCAGGAAACAGTTCGATCTTAGCTACATCAGACGCACAAAGTCAAAATATTCCGTCAACGACCACTTTATCAACCTTACTGTCAACCGGTATTTTAACGACTCAAACAGATGTGACAGCAAGACGGGCCATGCTGACCACGACCACGACCTCATTGCTGACTGCCCCGGTCAACGATCAGTCTCAACCCCAATCTAACGCACAACAACCCAAAGCCCAGTCTAATAACACACCCAATACAGCTGGCCCCCAACATTTTCATAATATTTCTTCAACTATACCAACGCAGCCGGACCTACAGTCCCAAGCTCAATCCCAAACAGCGCCCGTGGGAAGCCTTGGCGAATTTGGCATGACTAGTAAGTATTTAATTCTGTGTTGACACTTTGAAAGATTTTGATAATAAATTGTTCTGATTTAATTTAACCATATCTTGTTGTTCATTAAAGATACATTATTTAAGAGCTAAATTTGCCTATTGCAGGCCTTTCTATAGGCCTTAAATGTTGTGTAAATTATTAATTAGACATATATTAACATGACAAGACCATAATCGAGATTCTTACTAGATTAGAACGGTTCGGCCAATTAATGATTTAATTTAAAAAAGGAGAACCGGGGCTAAGACTCGAATATACCAGTACAGTAGTTACGATAATAAACAAACGATGCACACATTATCTTGTCAAAACTACAAGCAGCGATAACTTGACTGAGAATAAAGTAATTTGAATGAAATTTTCAATATATTCATATTGCAGTATCCTTATCTAAATCTTACATAATGTATCTTTAATGTATCTTGCAACTTATAATGTCTTCTCCTTCAGAGAAAGGAGAACCTTGTTCTAGGTAAAGCTGCCTGTCATAAAATCATCAGAAAATATATTGGTTGGTGTGTGAAATAATAGGAACATCAAAAATGACTACACGACGGTATTAAAAGATATCCCCTCTAAAATTTTAAAAGTTCATTCCCGGGTCATTCATGAACACGTGTAATTAATATTAGAAAAAGAACGTGTATGTTTCTGTGCCACGAAATGTCTGTTAGACTGACATGTGAGGATGTTTATAAACTTCACTGCTCAACTCACATTTGTCATTGACATGTGAACTTTTAGTAAGGTTTTGGACAACTTGTATATTATATACTCGAGGAATTATTTTCGTTAATGGTCAGACATGGAAACACGATTATGGATCGTTGTTTTTAGTTTTCTCTTTCGTTCAGCACTTTCGAAATGGTTCAGCGGTTTGTTTGACTTTTTTCTATTTTAAAAAAAATTGTTTAGATATTGTTTTTTTGTTTTTGTTTTTTGTTTATATTATATATTATATTTTGTATATTATATTTTTAGTGTAAACAATTATATTATCATGTTGTATATTCCAGCTACTATATTGATATATTATAATCTTTCCGTTAAGGTTTTAGATTATAATATGTAGCTGCTTTTTGAGCTTCTAGTCGTTTCGTTAGTTAAGCGCGTGTAAGCTATAATTTGTGTCTTGATGTTTTCATCAACATGTAATATTTAAACAGTATGTCAACATTTATACTTGATGTAACGTGACAATAATAATATGAGTAGACATCTGAATATATTTACATAATTAATATGGCTAACAACCCTGACTTCTTATAACGGTAATACTGTAATTTTAAGATAATTATAATTCACAGATCGTTTGAAAGAGAAATGCTTCAATGGACTGTGACAGGGAATTCAAAACCTTGATCCAGCGATACATTTTTTTATCGTTATTTAAGCAAATGCAAGTACTTGCATTACAGAATGATCGAAACATCTTAAGCTCTGGTGCATTGGTGCAGATATTCCAATACCGAATGCCTAGAAAACGTATAACGGTTCCTATAAGGCACACCACCAGAGTCCATCTGAACATAAACTACTGTCCTATTTGTACTTTATCAACTATGCATATTTTTATTTCAGTGACTTGTCCCACACCTGTAGATATACCAGGGGCGTCATATAGAATTTTCGGTGCCTTTGCTGTATATCAATGTCGTCCTGGTTATTTAACTGCTCGTTATGTTTCTATGTGTTTACCTGATTCGACATGGCTGCCACCAAATATTACGTGTAAACCAAGTAAGTCAGATACTTGTATTGTATATTATAAATATAATGCGCAAGTGGTTGTATTATAGCCATGTATCTGGGCAAATTAAAGACAATGATGGGGCCCATCTTGCTGAGAAATAAATGAAATGAAGTTTAGCGTCCTACTTTTCGGCAACGACCTGGGATAATGAAGTTGGTCGTACTCCATACAGTGTTCTCTGCTCTATACCGGAAATTTTTCCCGGACATCGGCGCTACGGCCTACTTTTATTTCGATTTTCATCTGTCCAGGGTTATTTTACGTGGACGCCAATGTGTATACGGGATCTCAGTTTTCGTCCCATCCGAACGACAATACGTCGTCTCTTACCAGGCCATCCGCAATGCACCACTGACTAGGGCGAATCACGCCGGAAACAACCGATGAACTTTTTCGGCCAACACTGGGATCGAACACGGGACCTCCGGGTTAGCGAGCTAACATCTTACTCACTTAGTGAAAAATGAATTGCTTTCGAAGCGTAGATGGTATAATACGAAAAATTAAAATACAAGATTCCTTAATTTAATTGAATAGTTGAAACTAGAGAAAATACATTATGTTTATAATGATTTATTAGTAACTTTGGTAGGCTGTTAAATAATAGTGCTCGAACATTATCCATTTTAGAGGATTGTGGTAATAAAATACCAGTTGTTGATGGTGCTACATCTACGTATGATAAAACGATATTTGGATCTAGTGTGATGTATAGGTGTAAAGAAACGGATGGTTATCATTATGAAAGTGGGACTACAACTGTAACTTGTGGTGCTGATGGTTTATGGTCTGATATCAATTTAAAATGCGCTCTTAATACATGTAAGTATTATATAGATATATAGGGGTTTGCATTTCCAGTTAGCCGAATTTATGTAACATTTAAAGATATGAATATCATGGTAGCCCGAAAAAAAAATCGGTAATGCACGACACAAGACTATGTCCTAAAATACAAATGCGGTTATTCGCTCGGTATGTCACTCGGCATATTAAGAAATGAAATGAAATGGAGTTTAACGTCCTACTGTTCTGCTCCTAACCTGGGCTAATGAAGACGGGCATGCGCCATACAGTGTGCTATGAGGGAAATTTTGCCCGGACAGCTGCACTACGGCCTACTCTTATATCGAATTCCAACTGCCAAGGGATCTTTTACGTGCACGCCAATGTGTACACGGGACCTCGGTTTTTCGTCCCATCCGAACGACTAGACAGCTTTCCTTGTCAGCCCCTCCGTCCTGCATCACTGACAAGGGAGAACCACGCCGGAAAATCTGGATGAACTTTCTCGGCCAATGCAGGGATCGAACACCCGACCTCCAGGCTAGCGAGCTAGCGTCTTACCCACTTATCCACGTGATCCCCCACTCGTTATATTAGATAATCAAGAATGGAGATATAATAGAACCAACTGTGTGACTGTCAAATTATTGATATTCATGCCTTTATAATGTAGTATTAGATTTAATGGGTTGTGGACGAGCTCAGTTTACAAAAAGGAGTTATTTTACATTATGAGAATAAAAATATATGAAAAGACTGCGAATTGCGAATTTAATGAACTCAAATGTTTTTGATGAATTTGGAAATATTGTGCATTTCTTCGATTCTGTATATTATTAAAATTGTATTAAATTACATGTATGTTATTTTTTATATTGTATCATATTATTGTGTTATTTTTATATTCTTTTTTTTTAGACAGACCAATGACGCAGAACTCTCAACAAATTCCACAAACGTCCATAATGCCAAAGAGTAAGTCATTGTAAATATATAGTATATAATTACAATTATAAAAAAAAACCTCACAAGAGACAAGACGTAATGGATGTATCATGGTGTTTATATTTTTCATATATTTTTTAATCTTGTCGTGTTATTTTATTAGCAGAAAATAGCCTAATGCGAAATCTGGGACTTTTTGTTGCAACGGCCGAATCAGGTATGTATTTTAATTTTATTACATTTACATTACATCTAGATTATATTAAATGTACAAACTAAGTGTGCTAATAATAATAGCTGAACATCAAGTACTCTCAAATTATAATTTATATAAATACAAATTATAAGCCAGGTGTAAAGGTTACATGTTGTTCTTATTTTTCAGCTTTATCTTCGAACAATAAAATGTCAGCATTTGGTAAAGTATACAAGTTTCTTCATTTTGATTACATAATAACAAATTTTAGAAGTGCTCCTGAGTTAAAGCGTTCTCATTGTACATGCATCTAAAACGTTTTTGAAAGTAAATTTATAGTTTTCGATTAAATACCGAAGTGCGGCCAGTCTATATCAGCATTTAATTTTACGCTCGTTTACTTCACTTCATCTTGTGTTTGAAAAATGTTTATTTAAAGAACTCTTCCCCCAAGGTGATATCGAAGACAACCAGTTCATATTGGCCAAAAGACGTTTTGTAGACGGCGTTCAGTTATGCGCAGATTGTGATTCTACTAATGAAAACCTGTGATACAAAAAATTAAGCAAAATGTTTTGAAGCTTTTGATTGGTTGTCTAATGAAGTCAAAAATATTTATTAGTTTGTCGGTCACACACTGATCCGCAGTGAATATTCGCTTGGCCGCTACAATCACTGATAAGGATGACATCGATGCGACTTAATGACTACAAAATATTAACTTTTTTCTTTCGACAAATTAAAATCTGAAACATTTTTTTTAGTATTAGAAAAATAAAAAAAAGGTGTTTGAAGTATATCTTGATAAAAAAATTCCATATTTAGCGTAAATAGGTACAGAAAATAGTACGCGAAGGCGTAAAATGGGTAAAACGATATAATTCTGCCCGTACCAGTTCATATTACTACGTTCGATGTAAACAACGCACGTATGACCATCAATTTGACGTTTTTTTCTGTTTGTTTACTCTGAATTCTTTCAGAAGTACATTTTTTACCGTCTAATCTGATTGACCTGCTCGTGTTTGTTTTAAAACAACAAAAACAAGCCACAGAAGTAATCTTTTTTGGCGTTATCGATGCCATCTTTGTTGGTAAACATTGTGATGTGACGTCACCCTTAGAACTACAGCGGTCTGACCTTTAAAAGGTCAGTCATCTTGGACAGAGATAAAAGACGGATATCGCATTAGGTCTGTAAAACAGATTGTGTCGGTCATAGGCCAAGAACTGTGAAAGCAGACGTTATACAACCAGATAGTAGTAGTAGGCCCAGAACCTTGTTTACAATGTACGTCATCACTACTGGGGAAACAGATTTTAAATAACCTGCTACTACTACTAATGTCTCTATCATACAGAAAAATATTCTACGAATATTAGTCTGGATGCGTTGTCAACATTTGAGAACAATAGGTCATCGGCTAGATTATCCGGTCTTTTACATTATCATAGACAAATTCAAAGGGGGGTAACTAGTCCTAAAACAAGATGTTGACGCCCATGAAATTAATTTAAGAATTCCATTTCAAAAAATCCATTTGATTGCATTGCCAGTTCAATATCCAAATTTTTTTTATTGTAGAATTTCTCTCTTCATGGGCCATATATGTTTTTAAATTAATCCTAATTCGTCGTCACGATTTATGTTTGTTTATATTAATGGAAGAATTATGGGATTTATTGCGGGAAGGGGCGCAACTCTTACTTGATTTGGCCAAAGATACTGGATAATCAACCACATTAAAAACCAAACCCCCGGTTACGCATGGGCAATGGACTTTTCGTGTCCGTACGTCGAAGACTAGGAGGTTCTAGGTGACCGAGACTACTAGTAGTACTAGACCCAAAACGAACTCATCAGTCGAATACACGGAATGAAAATAAGAAGTAGTTTTAATTAGATTAAGTACAACTAAGATTAATCAATATGAGAAATGCCATGGAGAATTTAAGAAAGGGCGTCGTATATCCAACATTGTGTACGATTCTTATAGTAACTTGCTTATAGTAAGTTTTGACATCGATAAGATAAGATAAGATTTTATTGTATCGAAACATCCATTGAGGACAGCATACAATATAAACATATACATAAATTTATAACAATATGACTAATCATATATATATTTACAAACAAGACAAATGATAATTTTAATCTAGCTTACACATTTACTAACAGAACAAACAGTATGATAATCATCTCAGAATACACTTTTACCTCAAACTGGTCTGATAATAACACAACATTCAACACAGGTATGATGAAATATACTGAGCGCCATGGAAAACGCGTCACTTAGTTTTTCGTATAACAAAATGATCCTGTAAACATATCTTATTTATTTTGCTTCTTATTGTGAACAATATTCAAATGGGAACACATCAATAACAACACATTTGTACACTTATGGATGTTTAATCTGTCTTCAAGTCAGAGGGGTTAAAACCAAAAGTACGACACAGATGTCAGTAGCGCGTGTGTCCTCCACGGGCTCTTACGCACGCTGTGCAGCGACGTCGCATGGAATTTACCAATGTTTGAAAGAAGGCCTGGGGCAAATTGTTCCATTCTTGGACAAGAGCAGCTTCTAAAGCAGCAATGGTGTGCATCTGTGGTCTCCGATACAGACGGCGTCCAATCTCATCCCAGACATGTTCTATCTGTGCCATGTCCGGAGACATGGCTGGCCAGTCAAAGACATTGATGTTGTTAGCAGCCAGCTAGTCCATACTAAAACGGGCTGTATGCGGACGTGCATTATCCTGTTGGAAGTGCTGAAGTTGTGGGTGCGCTCGAAACATCGGAACAACAATTGGTTGCATGACATCATCACGGTAGGCTACAGCATTAACGCGACCCCTGCAAATGTGTCGGGCGGTCCGGTGATGAAATGTGAAGCCTCCCCACACCAGTACACTTCCCCCACCCCATCGATTCATTTCGAAGACGCAGCAGTCTGCAAGACGTTCCCCAAGACGTCCCCACACACGTTGACGGCCGTCAGCGTGATAAAGATTGAAGCGACTCTCATCACTGAAGAGCACACTTTGCCAGTCTACTCATCTCCATGTCTGGTGTCCTTGAGCCCATATCAAACGCCGCTGACGGTGATGATCCCTGAAGATAGCTCCAACATAAGGTCGTCGTGCACGGAGTCATACTTCTCTTAGACGACGTCTTACGGTGTTGGCACTTACTGGTCCTTGTCTTCCGACGACTGCTGCACCTGTTCTAGTCGCTGGGCGGAATCTGTCACGCAGATGAGTGACCCGGATGTAGCGGTCTTGAGCCTGGGTTGTAACGCGTTGTGGACCAGGACGTTGACGGTCACGTGTTGATCCAGTAACTCGAACACGTTCCACCAACCTTACAATAGTGAACTGATGACAATTGAAGTGTCTGGCAATAGCACGTGTAGACATGCCAGCCCTGGACATTCCCATGGCGTCATTCCGTTGATTTTCAGTAAGTCTCGGCATCTCTAGTTCGATTACACTTCCCCCACCCCATCGATTCATTTCGAAGACGCAGCAGTCTGCAAGACGTTCCCCAAGACGTCCCCACACACGTTGACGGCCGTCAGCGTGATAAAGATTGAAGCGACTCTCATCACTGAAGAGCACACTTTGCCAGTCTACTCATCTCCATGTCTGGTGTCCTTGAGCCCATATCAAACGCCGCTGACGGTGATGATCCCTGAAGATAGCTCCAACATAAGGTCGTCGTGCACGGAGTCATACTTCTCTTAGACGACGTCTTACGGTGTTGGCACTTACTGGTCCTTGTCTTCCGACGACTGCTGCACCTGTTCGAGTCGCTGGGCGGAATCTGTCACGCAGATGAGTGACCCGGATGTAGCGGTCTTGAGCCTGGGTTGTAACGCGTTGTGGACCAGGACGTTGACGGTCACGTGTTGATCCAGTAACTCGAACACGTTCCACCAACCTTACAATAGTGGACTGATGACAATTGAAGTGTCTGGCAATAGCACGTGTAGACATGCCAGCCCTGGACATTCCTATGGCTTCATTCCGTTGATTTTCAGTAAGTCTCGGCATCTCTAGTTCGATTCCTTCACACGTCCAACAACAAATTACGACAGATTGACGTTTCATAGTTCATGTACTGCACATTAAGTTGAAAACATGCTTTTAAAGGGCTTAAACAGAATGCTGCACGTGAATATTGGGTTTTTCTAATATGGCAACCTATAAACACCGAGTGTGGTAATGAAACAAGCAAACAATCACAATGAACAATGCATATACTAACAGGATGCCCGGTGATAATCTTAAGTAACACAAATATGGATAATTTTACAAAAAGACAAACCTATAAATACATATTTACTTTATATTATTGATACAGGCACATATCTTTTTACACAGATAGATACCTCGATTAATCATTGTACATTCCCATTCCTGTGCTTAGAGTAGGTACATGTACATATTTACAATGGGTAGTGCATTAATGGGTATTTAATTAATAAAAATAAGCACTATATTGGCAGTTGACTAGGGGATTAATGGACGACATTTATACTATACAATATGATACACCTTGACAGCTATTGCTACATATTCTATATGGTATATCACGTGTCACTTCTCAACAGGCAGCACACAAACTATGAGTTGTGGTTTTGCTTATTATAATTTCTTACCAATGACTTTGTTACAGAACTTCTGAGTGCTTTCAAGACTCTGCTGTCAGGCCAATCAGGTGATGTATATTTTAGTTAGTTAGTTGCTGTAATATGTATGCTTTCGTAGGTTTATTTGATTGCTTAGACTACAAATATATTTCATGTAAATGTTTATGCTTTCCTGATCTTATTATGTTGTTTTGACTACATATAAATTAGATATCTATCTCTAGTTTGTTGTTGTAGATTAGATGCTTATGCATTTATAAGCTTTGTTTGCTTAAAATATATAATGTTCTTTTTGCTTTCGTGAGCTTATTTTGTTGTTTAATCATTAGATGTTCTACTACTGCCTGAAGCGTCGTAAATTTTAAACTGATTTCTTCTATTATGAACAAAATCCACTGTGAAATTAGTTATTCCAACCAATAAAAAAGGTCCTCTCTTGAAGAATTCGACTTATTTACTTGTATTTTCGACTCAGTACAAGACAACATGGCTTTCGTCACGTGTGGGCGAAACCAATGAAGCTGAACATTGCAGGGGTGGTTTAACTTTGACAGCTAGTTTGACAACCACGCGTTGCAATCAAAAAAAATCGCGATCATTTCGGTCTTATGAGTTTGGGCAACGGAAAATATCAATTAAAGGCAATTACATAGAAGACTTATATTGAAACCATTGATCGCCGGTCTACAAAATTTTTTTTACAATGAAAAAATCATTCAGACTCGTTAAAATATAGTCATATATAAAATAAAACTTTCCAATCTTCTTTATATTATAACTAATTTAACAAACAACATGAAGTTCACGTCATAAGTGTATCGTCAATTTTATATCATTATTTCAATTCAATAATAACCGGTTCAATAACATCTATAAAGCGTGTTACGGCAGCCCTGAAAGTGCCTATTGGGTGGGTTTATAATGCTAAAAAAACCTCGGAAGAAGCGCACCATTGCTTCCAGATTCGACAGGTTTGACCGTAGTGTGACAAGAGAAACTATCCACAGTCTGTATAGAAAGGGGCAAAGGGCCAATATGTAAAGCTATAAATTTTGCAGATATTTTACTAGAATGTAAAAGATGGTAACAAAATAATGGAATACGGGCAGTTATATGCGTGAAAAACCAAACTGACTTATAGCTTATTCTTATACAAAACTAGAATTGTGGTAAAAGTACCGAAAACCCTTTCGACGTGGCATGCTGTCACCCCTTTATACGAAATGATCTCTTCTAAAGAGTGACGTAACCAGCTTCCATTTTGGCATTGCTCCTTGTCAAAAGTTTGCGGGATATTCGTTGGAATATTTAATTAAAATTTACTACGGTTCACACAGTAACTTATCACTCAAATGTAAGTTATATCTATTTAGTTCAAGCTTAGTAATAAACAATAGTAAATGCCTTTACAGATATGGAAACATTGAACAGCAGTTTATTCTCAGGTGTGTATATGTAATTGCCACATAGTTGCGCTTTTAATTTTAAAACACAGGCTTATAGACCATAACAACTATTTTGTTTATTGTTATTTGTTTCGCTTTAAGACTGGTATATTTGTCTATAGGGGTGATTCTTATATCATATACTATATAAGATTTATCCTTAGATTCACCACAAGGTTAATTTTTGTATCCCAACACAGACCTGTTCGATGCGTTTTCAGTTTGGCACAGAATATAACTATGTAGCCAAATCATGTCAAATCGATTACCGATTTCTAAAGTGATAGTAAATGTTAGTTTCAAAAATGTTTGTAACATTAGGGCTATTAATGATAACATTACTTTTGATTACCGAGATGCAAATTATTTAAGATTCACAATTAATCGTTTAGTAATAAATTCTTAAGATACTTTTATCATTTTAGGGATAAGTGTTCCTGTTGCACCAACTCCAATTCCAACAAGTTTTCCCAGTCTGGATCAACAATTACCAGGATCATTTCCAGGAATTCCACAACAATTTCCTCAGCAAAGCAGATTTTTCACAAATGCACCTTCCCAATTCTTTCCACAACAACCACAGTTTCCGCAGTCGAACTATCAAAACTATCTGCAACAACAGCAACCACCACAACAGCAAAACCAACAACAGCAGCCGTTTCGAAATCCTTTCCAACAGCCAAGCAATCAGTTTCCATATAATCCATTTCCATACAATCCAAACAACTATCAACAATATCCATCTCAACAATTTCAACAATTTCAACAACAACAGTATAACCCACGACCAATGAACCCGTATCCACAACAACCTGGAATGAATATGTTCACTCAACAACAACCTACTGGTAACACGTTTCAGCAACAGCCCACCCAACAGCCTGCTCGAAATGCCCTGCTACCAAGTGATACGAAATCCCAAACAAATGAACAACAGCCTGACTCGCAACAACAAAATAATCTGGTACCCGTCCAAGCACAGCAACAACCTGTCCAGGCACAACAGCAGTCCGTACAGGCACCACGACAACCTGTACAAACACCACAACAACCTGTTCAAACACCAAAACAACCTGTTCAAAATCCGCAAGTAACACAACCTTTATTGAACAATGTTCCACAGCAGCTACAGCCTGCAAACAACATGCTTGTACAACAGCAGACATTTGCGAACACTTCTCCGCAAGTTCCAAACCAGTCACAACTGCAAAGTTCATCAGCACAAAATCAATCACCACAGCAACAACCAGCCCACACTATTATACAGCAGCCCAATCAACTGTCTCAACAAACCCCACAACAATCAAACACAGCCCTTCCACAACAAACTCGACAACAACCACAGTCAACAAATAATGTGTTTTCACAGAATTTACCACAGTCTAACAGGTTTTTACCAAACGATCCGCGACCACAAAATCAACCTACACAACAAACGATCCAAAATACCATGCCACAACAACCCACACAGCCACAAACCAATGTGTTTTCTTCACAAAATCAGCCGACACAGCAACAAACCAATGTGTTTTCACAAAATCTGCCAAACCAACAACCGATTAGAAACACCATGTCTCAGCAAAACCCTCAACATCAGCAACAATCTCTACACAACACTCAACAGCAGCTGCAACAAAACCCCCAACAGCAGCAACAACCACAACAAAACCCTCAACAAAAGCAACAACCACAACAACCAACACCTCCGTTCAGACAACAACAGCCACAACAACAGACAATGGGACAGTTTCCACAAAATCCGAACACCAATACTAAACCCCAAGCAAACCAGCCCGGAAATAGCCCAACTCAAGTTTCACGTGCAGGTACGCCAATTTTACTTTTTCAATTTTCACATGAAAACCAGCATTGAAAATATGCAAATAAGTTTGAATCTGCATTGATTGATCAGATCCTTGAAAATGAAGAATATTTCATTCATAAATTTATTAAAACAGTAATTACAATTTTACAGAAATGGAGAATGCGTTACGTGGAATTCTGGGGCCTGGTGGTTACAACTGTAAGTATAAAACATAAAATATAACTCCATATAATAGTTATTTATTCCTACATTTTGTTTTAAAAATCAACATCAAGCAACGAAAAGAATATGTATATTTTTTTACATTTAAAGCAATGAGTCCACAGTTAAAAAGGGTTCTGCTGGGACCTATGCCGGTTACTAATACAGCACCAACTAACCAACAAGTTAAAACACCAACACAGACCCAACCTCCTGTCACAGATCCATACATGGCAATGTTAGCTAGTGCCCAGAGTAAGTAAACTACACAGCGCCAATAATCTATCAGTTTCAATTCATATTTTTCATGAAATGTAGAAAGAAAACAGATTTATGCAGTAGTTTAATAACTCAAACATTTTTTAAATTTTATCTTCTTCTAAGAAAATATGGGGATGGTTATGTTTGGAAAAGAATGAATTACTTTGGTATTGATACAGGGATAACGCTTAGCATACTAGGAATAAAATTGTTTTTATTTATGGCATAGTGTATGCAATTCTGTTACTAAAGTGTTCAATGTTACATTACATGTTTATCAACACATGAATCATGCAATTCCTATGAAATACCGGTAATTGTGTTTTGACGAATTTTTCAAAACTTATAAAGCAGTGCAGGTTATATGGTATTAAACGGTAGTTAATTTCATAAAGCACTTATAGAGCGATAATCATTTTTGTTTTGTTTTTTTAAAAAAAAATGACGTAGGCGTGGAGGGCACAGAAATGAAGACTGAATAGAACAAAATTTTCTTATGAAAGTATACATCTGTTTTAAATACCAGTACTTGATCTCTTTAGATTTATTCATCCGTATTCTTACCTAATGTTTCTGAAAGCAGGAATGATTTCGAGGCCACCCGAGTTCATCATAGCAGACCTAGAGCTATTTGAGTATTCAACTGGAAATAGATGATTGGATTATTGAATCGGTTGAATAGTAAACTGGAAATAGATGGCTGGATTATTGAATCGGTTGAGTAGTAAACGATGCAATCTGTTATTAATTAATTTCAGAAAAGGCATGGGAACGTGTGGTTTCGGCTATAAGACAACGAATAATTCGTTTTTCAGGTATACATGTTAAAGCTTTTTAAATATATCTTATATTTATTTTTATATTTCTTCAGGTCTAAATAACAATATGAATATGAACAACATGTTTGGTTTCGGTGGACAGCCTCCAAACAACATGAGCGATCCTTTCGCAGCTATGGGAATGGGTACAGGAATGGGCTTAGGTGGAGCATCGGGAATGATGAATAATCTTATGATGGACCCCGAAATGGTGGCAGAAATGAATGAACGTGAGTCTATTAATATTTTAAAAAGAGACCGTACAAATATACTGAAAGTTGTTTCTTACAACTTTTGTGTCCAGGAAAAAACCAAATTATTCATGTACATATTGTATATAAATATATATAAACATTGGACCTTATATAGATATATCTATAGGGAGTTTTGAGATACCGTTTTGAAAGATACTTGTGAGGTTCGAAGGTTCCGACTAAAATGTAATTATATCAAAAGTTCATTTATTTTTTTATATTATTTCAGAGAGAATGGCAGGTTTGTTGTTTTTAATGATTACCTATTATTTTAACCAATTATTTAGTTGATATTTCGCTTAAATGCTACGGGTCATATAGCTTTCTGTGTTTGTGAAATCTACCCCAACCATTTTAATATAGATCTATGTTTGTTTATCTTAACGCCAAGCAATGCAAATAAATACAATGCCATAAAAGACATTTTTAGGGATTTTTAAAAAAAAAAAATGTTTTTTAATGGTGAGCATAAACTCATTACCTTATATAACGTTATTATCTTGTCGTTTATCATAAAATGCTTAATGTCTATTACGTGCTGGTAGCCTAATATACGGTGTGCTCTGTGTGTGTATGCATAACTGTAAAGTGACGGTCTTTCCTTCCATGGACTATTAAACTCAGATTTACTTTCTTTTATGAATTTTGTTAATTGTGAGATTATTTCTGATTGGGTTGGTGCTTACCAACTGAATCGAGTTTCTTACTTTAGAGACTGTTCCTTTAAAAAAATTTATATGTATATGTATGTGTATATATCTGATTTTATATAACCTTGTTGCTACAGCTTCCCTATTGACTGGTTCTGCAAATGCTTTTGGTATGTATACAACATTATGTTTTTATGGTGATCACTGTGAATATCGCCTCTTACTATCGTGATTCTATTTCTGGTATTTTATTTAGTCGGTTTCATTGAATAAACAAAGAATACCATTTACCTTCTGTAGATCATAATGAACCATGATGATAATACAGACTTCAGTGTTTACTTTATGAAACAAAATAAACAAATAAAGCCAGTATGATCCACCATCATATTATTACTTTCACTTTTTTTATTTAGGTGGTGCTGGTTTAAATGGAGGAATGGGTGCATTGAATGGAGTATTGGGTGGTGCAGGAAACAAACCCGGGACAAACCCTTTAGGTTTGCAGTTTTACTTTGCTGACCTATTTATTCACAAAATTTCATTTTGATTTTTAATATCATTTAGGTTTTAAAGCTTTATCATTATTTCAAAAGAAAGCTGACGAGAGTATATACTGTTTCCATTTAAATTTAGGGAACAGGAACTAATAGAGTAAGCAAGTGCAACTATGACAGCATCCGCTTTTCATATTCCCAATAACCAATTTGATGTTGCTTTCTGTCTATGAGCATAATTTAATGTTAAAATATTTTATATACTTACAGCTGCCATGTTTGGACCAAGTTTACCGGGTAGGTGAATTTCTCTCCTTGTCGCTATTTATTAAAATGTACGTACACATTAAAAGCATATAATTATTTGCTGCAAGTTATGACGAGTGTCGTGCATGAATAAGGTATGCTTACTCTTCCTGGAACACACGATACGACTTACTGATGTGTTTTGTAATCATCTGAAATTGGGTTTATTTATGGTATTTCGAGAATTGTTTTTATTTATGTCGTTGTGTGAAGGGCTTTGCCACTTACTTTGACATTATGGATTTTATTGGCAAGTCGTGCGCTGTCTTTTTGAGATATTGTGTTCATGTTCAAACGACATTTAAATACAAATTATCTATTGTAAGATATTATCATCAAACATCTTTTATATTTATTAAGGATTCGGTGTTATGGATCCTCAAGGTAAGGTACACTTTATTAAAAAAAAATATTAAAGAGGCATTATGCAAGTGCTAAGCTTGCCTATTGCATGACGTGTTAATGGCTTCAAATTTTATAAACATTATTATTTAGACATTAATTATTCACATGGCAAGCTCATATCCAATTCTCTAAACAGTTTCCATCTGCCAATCATGCCCATTTCTTGTCAAAACTTTATAATGTCGTTCAGAATAAAGTAATCTCACTAAAATTTTCAATAATATATTCATTTTTATACGCCCACATGGATATGTGGTCGTATATTGCCGTCGCAACCGTCGGCGGTCAGTCGTACACAATTTCTTGTGAACACTCTACAGACTACATTTATTATCTAATTATTTTGAAATTGATATGCTGTTTACATTAGTGAGACGAAGAAGCCCATTTAATTTCAATGATTTTCGTTAATTTCTTCTGGAGTTATGATCATTGTTTCACTTTGTTGAACGTTGTGGACACTCTAACGACAAAACTTATCTTCCGATCTGTATAGAATGTGTATAAATCATTTAAATTAATGAAACGAAGAATCCTATTGAATTTAAGCAAGTTCCGTTAATTACGGCTAGAGTTATGACCCTTGTTTCACTTTGTTGAACCTTGTCAACGCTCTAAAGACAAAAGTTATTATCCGATCTGTATGAAATTTGTATACACCATTTAAATTAGCCAGACAAAGAAGCCTATTGAATCTCAGCTATTTCCGTTAATTACTTCTAGAGTTATGGCCCTTATTTCACTTTGTGAATGCTCAAACGACAAAAGCTATCATCCGATCTGTATGAAATTTTTATGCATTATTTAAATTAGTAAATTACTTCCAGAGTTAAGGCCCTTATTTCAATTTGTAGAACCTTGGGAACCCCCAAACAACGAAAATTATAATCTGATCTGTATGAAATTGTCTTGTAAATGCCGCCATTACCTACAAAAGAATAAATATGTGACAACCCTTGTCGACCGCACGGACGATTTAGCTGCTATGGGCGTATGTTTCATTGCCTGGCAACCTATATTTCATAATCTGTGTTTGAAATGAAATGAAATGGGGGTTAATGTCCGATTGGGCTAATGACGATGGGCGTACGCCACGCAGTGTGCTATAACGGCAACTACCAAGTATTATTTAACGTGCACACCACCGTGTACACGGGGCCCAGGTTTTTCGTCCCATCTGAACGGCTAGGCCCTCAGCTCTGCACCACTGACAAGAGGAAAACCACGCTGGAAAATCCAGGGGAACTTTCATCTATACTCTTCCAAAAAAAAGTAGGGGATATTCAGAAACAATACAAAACTGCGGAACTGCACTGCTGTTTTTATTAGAGGTAACCAGTGTATGTTAATAATAGGCCAATTGCCTACACATGAAAATAAACAGTTCATATGGGCGGCTTATCTGACAGCCCCAATTCACTCGCAAAGAGATACACTGTCAAAAGTGAAAATGGATGTTTTTATACGCCCACATTTTCATGTGGACGTATATTGTCGTCGCGCCTGTCCGCCCGTCCACAATTGTTTGTGAATACGCTACAGGTCACACAATTTTTATCCGATTTCAACGAAACTTGAAATATAGGTTTATCACCCTAAGATCTCGGTTCCTTTCGATATGGGCATGTATCGTACTGTAACTTCATGGATTATGGCCCCTGATTGTACGTGTTTAGCTTGTGAACATTGTAGAGGTCACAATTTTTATCCGATTTGGTTTAAACTTGAAATGTATGTTTATAATCCACATATCTCGGTTCCTGTCGATATTCGCGCATATCGAACCATAACTTCCTTAATTATGGGCCCTGATTGTACGGAATTTCGCATTTTTAGCTTGTGGACCCCATAGAGGTCACAATTTTTATCTGATTTAAAAAAACCGTGTGAATATATCACCGTTACACCCTAAGAATGGTTGAGTTCGAATTTCGTAAATATCGGACCGAAACTGACGGACAAAATGGCCGCCCCTCGTTCGCAAATAGTGTCAAAATATTGCGTATCAGGGTTGTGGACCCTCTGGAGGTCACAATTTTCATCTGACTTAGATGGAACTTGAAGTGCATGTTTATAACCCACAGATCTCGGTTCCTGTCGATATTCGCGCATATCGGACCATAACTTCTTGAATTATGGCCCCTGATTGTACGAAAAATCGCGTTTTTAGCTTGTGGACCCAATATAGGTTACAATTTTTATCCGATTTAAAAAAACGTTCTAATATATCACCCACCGTGACACCCTAAGGGTGGTTGAGTTCGATTTTCGTAAAAATCGGACCGAAACTGACGGACAAAATAGCCGCCCCTCGTTCGCAAATAGTGTCAAAATATTGTGTATCAGGGCTGTGGGCCCGCTAGAGGTCACAATTTTCAACTGATTTTGATGAAATGTGAAATGCATGTTTACAACCAAAATATCTTGGTTACTTTCTATTTTCGTGCATATCGAATCGTAACTTCCTGAATTATGGCCTCTGATTGTACGAAAAATCGCGTTTTTAGCTTGTGGTCCCTCTAGAGGTCACAATTATTATACGATTTGAAAAAACGTTCGAATATATCACCGTTACACCGTAATTTTGTCTGTGGTTGAGATTCATCAAAATGGCTGCCTCTTGACGCAAATAGTGTAAACATCTGGAATATCAAAGTTGTGCACCCTCTAGAGGCCACAATTTTGATCCGATCTTGATGATACTTGAAATGCAAGTTTATAACCCAAAGATCTCGATTCCTTTCAATATTCGCGCATATCGGATCGTAACTTCCTGGATTATGGCCCCTGTTTTAGCTTGCGGATTCTCTAGAGGTCACATTTATTTTTCGATTTTAAAAACCGTTTAAATACATCACCATTCCACCATAATGAAGCTTAAGTCGAATTTCGGGAATATCGAAATGAAACTGCCCGACAAAATGGCCGCTCTTTGTATGCAAATTGTGTAGAAATGTGTAATACGAAGGTTGTGGACCCTCTAGAGGTCACAATTTTTATCCGATTTTGATGAAAGTTAAAACACAACTTTATATCCCAAAGATCTCTGTGCCTTTTGATATTTGCACATTTAAGGCCAAGATTATTGCCCCCGATTGTACAAAAAATCGCGTTTGTTTTTAGCTTGTTCTCTATCCATCTCTTGCAAAATGTGGGCGTATCCTGCCTGGCAGCCGCTGGTTGTTTTTTTGTCTTAATAATGAGTAATTACACCAATCCTCAGACATTCAGCAATTCGTCGTGGCATGCTCCTAATCAACCGTCCAATCACGATTTGGGGCAATCTGACCCACTCCTCTTGCTGTGCCACGGCCAATTCTTGCAGTGACGTCGACGAACACGTCTCCCGTTCAAATTAAACGTAACACACTAAAGCAAAGGTACGCTAAACAGTAAATCGTATGCAAGAACCGATAGGAAAGCAAACATGGATAGGATAAACTAGCAAGCGGCAGTTTTCATCAACCCTTCCTTGAAGTGTCAAATTTGACAATGAAACACTCCCACGTGTATGGCGCTATTGCGTGTCGCATATGCAGCTCAGTGGTTCTGTTGGGGCGATAAGTTCTTCATCTGTGAACATACTCTCAAAACATGTCAAGAGTCCATGACTATTTATCATATGACAACCTGCATAGGTATTTGCATTTCAATATCCCCTATTTTTTTTAAGAGTATAATATGTTGCACTATTAAAGCAAGAACGGTCAGCCTATTCTCTAAATCTTGCATAATGTACCTTTAATTGACCTCGGTGTTAATGCACCGGCGTTTCATGGACGCATCTTCCGGGGCTGATTACATGAGCATGATATTTGGTGGTAATATTTGACAATGACTGTATCCGAGCTTGAATCCTGCCTAATTTCTAATGAATTTTCTATTGTCGGGACACAACCCCCAGATCCTAGTGAAGATATCTATAGTGTGCGATCTCTGAAAACCACGGGCTATCTTCAGAATAGCCGAAAATCCTAGCTGGCGGCCAAAAATCCAGAATAGAGGCAGCAATTGGCACGAAAAGTATTCTTTCAATACGAATTCAAGTAATAAAAGTATACACGTGTACTATGACCTTTCAAGGGTTTTTGTGGGACGCGAAACACGAATATGCCATTTCGAAGCTGATGGGGCTAATGGAAATGGACTAAATACGTACATATGTAATAATAACAACCATAAATTGTTAAAGACATCCACGAATCTTATCCTCCATAGCTATCATAATACATTTTAATACATTATATAATACTAGTAATGTATTACGCCGCACGACTCGGGAATTCCAGAAAACACACGTCAAGAGTCTAAATGTTTTGAATTATCTCTCGGACATGCGCACTTAGATTGAGAATTATTGTTATTTAGGGAGTTATCGACGGAGAAGATGTCTGGAATGATTTATGGTTGTTATTTTTATATGTGTTGGTCTGTAGTCGCAAAAATGCTTAATTTGTGTATACTATCTCCTTTCAAATTATATCTATCATCTTGGAAATGACATATTCGCGTTTTGCTTTCCCCACAAGCTCTGAAACGACATATCACACGTGTGTGTTGCTATTGCTATTGAAAGGAAACTTTTGGCGCCAATGTCTGTCGCCAGTTTGCATTTTGCTCGACATGTTGGATCCGCCGTTTGTTAGATGAATCGGAAACTGCCAAAAATGAGTCCGGTGTCCAACGAAACCTATAAACTGATATATTACACAGGTCATTTCGCCAACAATGTCTGTCAAGCTCAATTTCAGAACATTTTTCACCGCTGTCTTGGATCTTCGGCTCTCCTGAAGTTTTCAGAGGTAGCAAATTACAAATATCTTCACTAGTGTCCCTTCTATCAGAAACTATCGCCAAACCTTGTTCCCCGAGAAATTATTACGGATCTGGTGGTTATGCCCCCGACTAATACGTCTCCGTGTGCATTTCGTCGTACATTGTCGCCCGTCGGTCTTGCATTCACTGTTCAGGTTATAGATTTTGATATTTCTTTAGAATTTGCCAGATTTATTAGTCATAAACATGAACTTAGTCGATATTCTAAGTGTCACATCAATTTCTTTTATATCAGTTATCGTCTGTGTCATCTAAACCTGGTAATCGCTCTGAAGGTCCGAATTTTTTCACACATCATTTTTATTTTCGGACTAATTTCTTCCGAAATCGTGTAATCGTTGAGATTTAGTTATCTTGTATAGTCATAGTGAAGAATAGTATCGAAATTCAGAGTTATGTATCAATCATTTAAATTTTTTGGGCATCTGTCACCGAAACCTTTTGGGTGCTCTGAGATTTCTTTTATGGAAGCGTTAAATAATGGCAAGTCGAGAAAGGGCCCCGAAGTAAACAACTTAGATGCTGATGGGAATTTCTTTCGTTACCGAGCAACCTATAAATGAATTTAATAGACTCAGTAGTTGTTGAGAAACATGCGGCCTTACTATCTCACCGCGTACTTATTTGTCAGGCATACCACATTAATTCCTGATCATTATGATACTAACAGTATTGGCATCACGAAATTACGTCATCTAAATAGACTTACATCAGATTTACAACTAAAAGCAATGGCAAATTTTGAATTAGATGCACTAAGCGATTATGTAACTAACAAAATACTTTTTTTAAAAATAAATTACAGGTACAATGCAAGGTGGTGGTACAGGAAATCCGTTTGGTAAATATTTCTTATAACAATCGAAGTAGAAAATATTAATAGTTTTTCCCATTCATTTTTCATCTCATTTTAAATATTATTTGTGGCAGTAAATACGGAGTAGATCATACAGAGGAACGCGATGATTAATCTATTGATATATTAATGTAGATTACAAAGGTGATTGAATGCTTAAGCTAACTTATTAATTATTCTATATTAAGAATACCTCTTCTACTCTTGAACTATTTTGCCTACATTAATTCAAATTCACATTAAGATAATTTTGATTTTATGTCGTATTTGCGTGTTTTTCCATCCACATTCAACTTCAAATATTAATTAAGCGGTTGGTATAGTCTAGCCAAAATTATGTAAATATTGAAATTATTATTGTTTATTTTATTTTCAAGATGCTATGATGACTGGTGGTCATCCAGGTGAGTGAACTCATGAACTACTTTAACAAATGCTACAACTTCCACATGTGGCTGGACATCTCTCTTTGATTTAGTTCAAAATAATCTATTGAATTCGATTGATCTGATGTTATTTCGATTAGATTTAATTTACGGATTTAACATTTAAAATGTAGAATAATGAGCCCACACCGAATTAACTGTAAATAAAAGATTATACATATCTATAAGAACACATGTTTGCTAGTAGGAGTAGAAGTTGATGTCTTTTTGTTTGTATTCGATTATATTTATGTGAAACTATCTGGTGTATAGCCAAAGTATGTATTCAACACAATTTCTTTAAAATGACTTGATGTTATATACTCTTCAAAAACAGTAGGGGATATTCAGAAATAATACAAAACTGCGGAAATGCACTGCTGTTTTTTTTTATTAGAGGTAACCAGTGTATGTTAATAACAGGTCAATTGCCTACACATGAAAATAAACAGTTCATATGGGCGGCTTATCTGAGTAATTGCTCCACCAATCCTCAGACATTCAGAAATTCGTCGTGGAATGCACCTAATCAACCGTCCAATCACGATTTGGGGCAATCTAACCCACCCCTCTTGCAGTGCCACGGCCAATTCTTGCAGTGTTTTCGGTTGACGTTGACGTCAACGAACACGTCTCCCGATGAAATTAAACGTAACACACTAAAGAAAAGATAAGCTAAACAGTAAATCGTATGCAAGAACCGATAGGAAAGCAAACATGGATAGGATAAACCAGCACGCAGCAGTTTTCATCAACCCTTCCTTGAAGTGTCAAATTTGACAATGAACCCTCCCGCGCTATTGCTTGTCGCATATGCAGCTCAGTGGTTCTGTTGGGGCGATAAGTTCTTCATCTGTGAACATACTCTTAAAGCATGTCAAGTGTCTATGACTATTTATCATATCACAACCTGCGTGGGTATTTGCATTTCAATATCCCCTATCTTTTTTGAAGAGTATATTTAAAGACCATAAATTTCATTCAAACTGGTAAATACTATTGTTTTCTGTTATGTATTTCAGCTGCTGGCAGTATGAAGCCCGGGCAACCTGGTATTATTTTTCATCTTTTATAAACGTCTCAGATTGACCGTAATTGTGTTTTAATATAGGAGGTTTCGTTCATGAACGAAAACAAGAACGCCACCGATTTTAACCATAAGCAGTTTATGCGGTCAAGTGTTTCATAATCTTTTTATTGTTATGATCTGGACCGCATGACGTTTTATATGGTGTTTTTCTCAATTATTCATATTGTTCGAAATTTCTAAATAAATATGTCCATCTAAAATTAACTGAATTTGTGATAAGAAGGGTCAAATTGCGAAAGAGTTATTCAGCGGAGTCGCCGTTTCCCCCGAGCGTTAACAATAACAGCTACGATTATAATAATAGCCTTATCCGTTTAAATGGGGTCCTCTATTTTTATTTAAAAAAAGGATGATTTTTTTTGAATATAAAACCAAGTGACAGACATAAGAGAATGGAAAATAATGTTTGATCTTGATAAGTGTGTCTATAATTTATTAAATATGACATTTTATGGTATAATCATAATAATTTAACCCCTATTATTTTTTTCAGGAGCACAAGACGCCGCCTTAAGTAAGCTATGAATTATAATTACATTGTAAACACCATCACCAGAGACAATAATAATATTGTTTGTTTATGTTTGTTTCAATTATTGCGACCAACAAGTCTACAAGAATATATGATAATTGCATCAAGACGTGTTACCCTAGATTATGTTATATAATCTTGTCAATGCTCCAATAATTTTAACTGTATATTTATAGCGTGTGCTTTTATTTGTCTGAACACCTATGTGCAGTGCTAGCATGACTTGGCTGCTGTGGGCATGTTTCTTTGCAATGCAACCTCACTAAACTTTAATGAATAATTTTGCACTTAAAAAAAATTCCAACCATTTTGTTTTGTTTATGATACATTGTTTGCTATTCTTTTTATCGATATCGAACTTCAAAATACCTCAATTTTCGCGAACGTTTTAAAAAGTCTGATCATATTTATTTCAGTGGCTTTATTAAATGGAATGGCACGTAAGTATATAACAGTGTTTAGTATAATATGTTTAATGTGACTTTAATATTAGGACAGATTAATCTGTGACAAATTTGATATTTTAGCGACATATGCCAATGGCGATTCGTTAGCTTAATGTAATATTTATTAGAATGTATACGGTCTAATATTATTAATACTTCGTTTGTCCAATAGCTAGACTGTATACAGTCCGTACGTATAATTTATCCATACTTCCTTTTATTTTTGTTTAGTTTTCTTTCAAGTTCTGAGTTTATAAAACAAGGGTAAGGACTGAAACATTTGGACAGTAGTGGGGTTTACCATCCAGATCTTGTCGAAATAATGCCGTCGGATGATTATTGTCTGGAGGAAAGCCATCGGTGCTGTTGCAAGTTGTTGCTATGAAAATGGCATCTTTTCACGAACAGGTCATATCAATAAGTGACCTGTTTGAAATGTCAACCGTTAGTCCAGTATATGCAACAAATGACATAAACCGATCAAATTATTGCAATGCCATGAGATAACTTGTAGTTTCTATTGTTATGAGATAATTAATATTTTCTATGGTAATGAGATAACTAGTATTTTCTATGACCATGAGATAACTAGTATTCTCTGGTCATGAAGTAAGCAATAACTAGTATTTTCTATTTTCATGGGATAACTAGTATTTTCTATAGTCATGAGATAAGTAGTATTTTCTATTGTCATGAGATACCTGGTATTTTGTATTGTAACGTGCCTTAGGGTGAATCTTGAGTTTTGATTGATAAATTAGACACTGTCGATTGGACAATAACATCCCTCTGTTTTAGTAAGGCGAATAATTGCGTATAAATATTACAGTGTACTTTTTTTTCATTTTGTGCTCAACCATTTCCTCAACTCAAATCTTTATTGACAAATCTTCAAGAAATTCTGCTCAAATGACCATCACACTGTTTTCAAACTTCATCCTTTATCCAAACACATCTCTGAAATACATAAAACAGTAGAAAATCAGTCATAAATTAATTAAAACCGTTTTCGGGCATCATAAATTATTCGTAACTAGGCAGTGTGGGCAATTTTGTTTTGTTTTTGTTTTTTTGCACTCAGCAATGTCTAAGTGGAAATTTTAAATCAAGGTTTGATCAAATGACTAACATTATCCGCCTAATAATGAGTCATTAGTCACAGGAAATCGCTTGAAAATATAATAAGGGAGGCGATGGGCCTAATAACGGGAAATTAAGCCAAAATTGACATTATTGGTTGACAATACGTCAGAACGGTATAGACCTAAATAGCAATCCCAAGAATCCTAGGCATTACATAGTTTTATAAGATATTTTGTGGATGTAAGTAAGAACTGCTCTTTTCTAAACAAGAACTAGCAATAAAATTGTGTTGACGGTCTGCAAATAAAATAATAAAGGTCAAAAACTCATCCATTTTATTATACGCCCACATTTTTATGTGCACGTATTATGCCGTCGCCCCTGTTTGTCCATCCGTCCGTCCGTCCACAATTTGTTTGTGGACACTCTACAGGTCACAATTTTTATCTGATTTCAACGAAACTTGAAATATAGGTTATCTCCCTAAGATCTCGATCGCTTTCGATATTGGCATGTATCGGACCATATAGAGGTCACAATTTTTATCCTATTTTGTTGAAACTTGAAATGTAAGTTTATAACCCAAACATCTCACTTCCTTTCGATATTCGCGCATATCGGACCGTAACTTCCTGAAGTATGTCGCCTGATTGTACGAAAAATCGCGTTTTTAGCTTCTGGACCCTATAGAGGTCACAATTTTTATCCGATTTGAAAAACTGTTTGAATATATCACCGTTACACCCTAAGCCTAAGGGTGGTTGAGTTCGAATTTCGTAAAAATCGGACCAAAACTGGCAGACAAAATGGCCGCCCCTCGTACTCAGATAGTGTAAAAATATGGTATATCAAGGTTGTGGACCCTCTAGAGGTCACAATTTTCTTTTGATTTTGATGAAACTTTAAATGTAAGTTTATAACTCAAAAATCTTGGTTCCTGTCGATTCGCATATCGTATCTTAACTTCATAAATTATGGCCCTGATTGTACGAAAAATCGCGTTTTTAGCTTGAGGTCCCTCGAGAGGTCACAATTATTATCCGATTTAAAAAAAAAACGTTCAAATATATCACTGTTACACTGTAATTTTGGTTGAGTTCGAATTTCGTGAAAATCGGACGAAAAATGCCGTACAAAATGGCCGCCCCTCGTACACAATTAGTCTAAACATTTTGTATATCAAAGTTGTGGACCCTCTCGAGGTCACAATTTTGATCTGACTTTGATGAAACTTGAAATGCCTGTTTATAACCCAAAGATCTTGAATCCTTTCGATATTCGGGCATATCGGATGGTAACTTCCTGAATTATGGCCCCTGATTGTATGAAAAATCATGTTTTTAGCTTGTGGTCCCTCTAGCGGTCACAATTATTATCCGATTTAAATATATCACCGTTACACCGTAATGTTTATTGAGATTGAATTTCGTGAAAATCGGCCTAAAATTGCCGGACAAAATGGCCGCCCCTCGTACGCAAATAGTGTATAACATCTTTTATATCAAGGTTGCCAAGGTTGTAGACCCTCTAGAAGTCACAATTTTGATCCGATTTTGATGAAACTTGAAATACATGTTTATATCCCAAAGATCTTGGTTCCTTTTGATATTCGCGCATATCGGATCGTAACTTCCTGAATTATGGCCACTGATTGTACGAAAAATCACGTTTTTAGCTTGTGGTCCCTGTAAGGGTCACAATTTTTATCCGATTTAAAAAAAAACCATGTGAATATATCACCATTACACACTAAGATCTTGGTTCCTTTTGATAATCGCGCATATCCGAACGTAACTTCCTGGATTGTGGCTCCTGATTGTTCGAAAAATCGCATTTTTAGCTTGCACAATTTTTTTCCGATTTTAAAACCCGATTAAATATATCACCGTTCCACCATAATGAAGGTTGAATTCGAATTTCGGGAAAATCGAAATGAAACTGCCTGACCAAATGGCTGCTCTATGTACGCAAATTGTGTAAACGTATGCAATATGAAGGTTGTGGACCCTCTAGAGGTCACAATTTTTATCCGATTTTGATGAAACTTGAAACATATCTTTATATCCTAAAGATCTCAGTCCCTTTTGATATTTGCGCATTTCAGACCATAACTTTCAGGATTATTGCCCCTGATTGTACAAAAATCATGTTTGTTTTTAGCTTGTTCACTATCTATCTCTTGCAAAATATGGGCGTATCCTGCCTGGCAGCCGCTGGTTATAAACTTCGAAAGAAGCTAAGTCATCATATTGTAGCTAAGAGTTACCCCTGTCTCGTCTCGTATTTCAATCACGGCTGGCATTACGACTACCGGTAAAAAACCCCAAACAAACCCGCACTAAGACTATCTTACTAATCTTCGAACGTTAAAAACATTTTATTGGAAATATCTGAATAAAATTTTCTTTCAATATTATTTACCAGCGACCCGAGACTTTTAAAACTGAATTTATCTTGGCATGGATTTGACAATTAATTCGGCACACCTCGTGTTAAACAAGAAGGCGAGGTTTACCGAATGCCGACCACAGTGTAGTCGCCATCGTCGCGGCGATTGAAGGAGGAAGACCAGCTTGCGCTCAGGTAACCCGTCTTGGGTCCCAATTGTCTCAGAACATGCCTATTGGACAATAACACCTCTCTAACTGCGAAACAGGTAGTCTTTATCTCCCATTTGCCATGAGATACGTGGTATTTTCTATTGTCATGAGATAACTAGTATATTCTATAGACGGAAGGATCGTCCATGATCATTATAACTAGAGGCGTTTTTGTGAGTCGATTAGATTAGGTTTTGATTTGCTAGTACGATTTGGTATGATTTCGATTTGATTAGCTATGGTCCACAAATGTGAAATTTGATAATTACGATTTGGTAAGATGGCTGCCACCACGGACACCGATCAGAAAAAAAATTGTCTCTGCTAACATGACGAGGGGGGCGTGTGTTTCACGTGTAGTCCAAGTTACCTACAGATTACAGTGACACTGCTGGCACCCAGAGGGCCTAAAATTGCTTAGAGCCAGAGGTGATCTAACATTCTTGTGGACTATAAAGTTAACATTAAAGGGGCTAAATCGCTAACATTTGGGACCTAGAAATTGACAAAAGTGGGTCGCAATGCATATAATACTGTAATATGAATGTATATAAACTGATTTACATTCAATGGTTTCCGTTTTTACTCCAATTTCAAATCCATTATGTTCGGCGAAATAAGCCAGCAGTCTCAAGCGAGTGCAAATTTCTAGCGTCTGGTTATTCCAGTTTACATACGCCGTTTGATTTGGTGCAATGTGTCTAGCCTCGTCCCTCGAGTCTCTTGATACAACTAGGTCTGAAGCACATTATGGTACACGATTCGTGTACCAATGGTAAAATGTTTATTTTGTCTTAAATATTGGATATCAAAAGCCCATCTTTTCCCGTTAAGATCACAACATGAATGTTGATATAATTTGACAAATAAATCGTGTTTTCAATGTTGAAGATTTTGGATTATATTGAGTTAGAAACTTAGCTACTTTAAACACATCAAATGCGTTTTAAAAAAACATTTTTTATGGAGAAAAACAACAATAAGCATTAAAAATTACTTACGATGTCGAACATTCCGCCATTTTGAAAACCTCAAATCTAATCGCCTAAACACCTCCTGGGACGATTAGGTCGATTTGCCTAATCAGTTGAGTTAAATCGTTTCACAAATGTAACGATTAGCATAATCAACTTGGTTCACAAATGCGTATAGTAGCTAATCGGTCTAATCTAATCGGTTCACAAAAACGCCTTAGTATTCTAGATTTTCATCAATGATGTAATACTGATTTGGGTTAATGCATTCCCCATTCGAATTATAATTATACCAGCTATTTTTTTTGTTAATTCTTTTGCTTACGTGGTGGGTATGTATTCCTTTCAGTATCGGGTTTTGTTTTGTTGGTGTAGTAAACATTTTATAAACATATTTAAATTGTGATTTACTTCAAATCTCATCAAATCGTTTACATCTTACCATTATATTTATTCATAGAATTCCGTCATTTTGAAGTCAGATCGTCGTGAAAATTGTTGAGACCGAAAACAACATGTATAGCCTAACTGTGTCGGTCATATTATCCCCGCCTGTCCATTTACTTGGTTAACAGATGAATCAATACTAGTCTTTAAAGGGATTAATAATTGGTGTATATTGAAAATTATGTCTATATTAGAAACTATATCTTGTTATTTTGATACTGTAACATAATTCTTCTTATTCCTGCAGCTGGACAAGGACAAAACCTCGCAGGCGGCACAGCACTAGGTATATATAACCGTATTATATCTAACCTAATAATAATCTTAATAGCACCTTTTTTACTTGAAATTTATGTATAATTAATTCCTAGAAAAGGGTTTTAGAGTTGCTCCTATTGAATTTGTGCATAGGTTTTCAACAACCGACATCGCCTGTTACCGGGGCAGATCCATCAGCGACTAAACCAATACAGCAAGCGCGGACCCCGGCTTCACCCCCACAAGCTCAATCACCAGTGCAACCAGCACAATCTGCTTCCTCCAATATAGGTATATTTTGTACCGAATTGTCTGGTTATCGCTGTAACGCTTTCATTAACCAGTATAATATACATATTTTTGTTTTTACATAAGCTTTATTGCTAATAATGCTGCCTTGGTCTTACAACAGGCATCTGAACTGAAATTATAGCAGTATTTCCAAATTAACAGTTTAAGCTAATGACCTCAAACGTTTTTCATTAAAGATACATTATGTAAGATTTAGATAAAGAACTAGCCATTTTTGCTACAATAGTTCGAAAGTAGGTGATGTAAAATGAATAATTTGAAAATTTCATTCAAATTACTGTATTGCAAGCGAAGATATTAGCCTTTGAAGGTTTGACAGACGTGTGCAATAATTTCAACCACCGTATTGGTTGATCGAAGCTAAGTCTCGGTCCTCCATATTTGATTAAATCAAAGTATCGCTGAACCATTCTAATCTATTTAATATCGGAGAAATCTGATGCCATCGAGAGTTGATTAAGGCCTAGATCAGTTAATTAATGTCTATTTAATACTTTAGAAAACATTTCAGGCCTAAAGAAAGACCCGCAATAGGCAGATTTAGCTCTTGCATAATGCATGTTTAAAAAGGCCTATTTTTGGCTAATTTACTGTACAACATTATATCATGGTATTTCTAGTGTTTATTGGACTGTGATTAAGCTATTACACCAAGTTTTTTCGCATTATGCTGGATGTACTCAAATGCATGAACTGTGCCAATACCTTCATATTATTACGCATTTTGCTTAATGTAACTTAATAAAAATAAAAATAATAAAAAAAACACATAAAAATATCAACAAACTGTGTTTGTGTGTTTTAACACAATTATAATTCTTTTGTACTACTAGTCTTGCATTTTTATACGCCCACATTTTCATGTGGACGTATATTGTCGTCCCCCCCGTTCGTCCACGTCCGTCCTTGGTGAACACTCTACAAGTCACAATTTTTATCCGATGTCAACGAAACTTGAAATATAGGTTTATCTCCCTAAGATCTCGACTCGTTTCGATATTGGCATGTATCGGACCGTAACTTCATGGATTATGGCCCCTGATTGTTCGAAAAATCACGTTTTTAGCTTGTGGACCCTATAGAGGTCACATTTTTTATCCGATCTTGATAAAACTTGAAATACATGTTTATGAACCAAAGATCTTGGTTCCTGTTGATATTTGCGCATATCGGATTGTAACTTCCTGGATTATAACCCTTGATTGTATGAAAAATCGTGTTTTAAGCTTGTGGTCCCTCTAGAGGTCACAATTATTATCCGATTTAAAAAAAAAAAGTTTGAATATACCACCGTTACACGGTCATTATGGTTGAATTCGAATTTCGTGAAAATCAGACCAAAACTGCCGGACAAAATGACCGTCCCTTGTACGCTAATAGTGTAAAATATGGTATATCAAGGCTGTGGACTCTCTAGAAGTCACAATTTTGATCCGATTTTGATGAAACTTGAAATGCGTGTTTATAACCCAAAGATATCGGTTCCTGTCGATATTCGCTCATATCGGACCGTTACTTCTTGGATTATGGCCCCTGATTGCACAAAAAATATTATTTTTAGCTCGTTATCTGTCCATCTCTTGAGATATGTGTTCGTATCTTGCATGACAACCGCTTGTCTTTTAACAATTTCTTGTTTAACATTATATCGCACGATATGATCTCTTTAAAATAACGCTGGGTTCACGTTAGATACATTTGACTGATAGTATAATAAAAGACATGGAACGAATTCAATGTTAAAACACGCACATCGGTTAACCATTAGTTATTCTAGCTTATATTCTTATAAATATTAAGCTAAGATGTAATGCTATCCTGTTTAATATTTCTGTTTATCCAATCGCCTACCATGCTGAGCTGAAAGCATGGAGGAGCGTGGCTGTTATTACTTCCAATAATCAATTGTACAAATATATTTGTTTCAGATACTAATCCAGGGGTCAATCCTGCTGCTACAGGTACATCTGCTACTAATGGATTAAATGGTAAGCTAATAGACCATATAGTGTAAAAGTTGATCCTTATTAAATAATATCTTTGAGTTCTGAAATAACTAGATATATTATTTATTTCGTTTCAAACCAAATATGTGTTTTCATTTCAATCACTTCATTATTAAACCAAAAAACGACAAATTAATAAATACATAAATTACAATATGGCAATTGTAAATGTTATTTTCGCTTGAAGCGTGAACATCAGTAAATGAAGGGAAAAGTTATCGAGAATTGTTCTGCTTCGCTAGAATGTTCTGAACCATCATCGTGAATGTCGTTACACATTTAAAATAGGCTCGTACTGATATGGAAGAACATTCAGACCGAAATCAATGTAGAACAAGCTGTCACTTTATACTGCCTATGCCATATGCGATAATAAGGAAAATGCATCGGCTACTAAACGAGCGTCGTCTATGACGTCGTGTCACGTGTATTTCAGTAATTGCGGAAATGTGTTTTGTAACGTTATTTGTTACTAAAAATGATCTTAGTAAATGATAAAATTTTACTGTAGCATTCTCCTTTAAACTATCCAAACAGTAATACTTTATTCTTCATTTTCCAGCTGAAACCATGCAAATGATGAGGTCATTGGGCTTAGTCAAAAAATAAGGTAAATAATTTATCATCCTTCAGCCCATATATTACTTCCGGGTCAAATGACCACTGATCTAGCAGTTCCGTCTCTTCGATTTATTATTCTATTTGAGAACATTATAAGAAAACGATTTTCAAGTCCATACAACAATTTTAATTTATAGTTTACCTCTGAACATTTGCTTATACCATGTACTATTATTTTTTCAGATATTCACTAACTGTGGGTTACTATAAGAGTTACAATATAGAAGTATTATTACTGGTGTACATATTAGATATAACCAACAGTTTTGAAACTACTATAGTTTGTGATGTTTATAACTTGTGCTTTAAGACATTTATATGTTTGTAATCGATTCTGCTAAGAATAAATCGATACTGTGATTACGTAGAATATGTTTGTTATCATTTATCTAATCTACCCGATGATTCTAAGTCTTCCCTTTCCTTACTTCATTTACTTAGTGAGTATGGCGCTGGCTCGCTAATTTGGAGGTCCCTGGTTCGATGTCTGTCTTGGTCGAGAAAGTTCACCCGGGTGGTTCCTGTTGTCAGTAGTACTGGTCGGGGGTCTGGCAAGGGGAACGTCGTCTTCGGATTGGACTAAAAACTCGGGGTCCAGTCAACACAACGGCGTGTACGTAAAAGAATCGCCCACAGGTGGAATTCGAAATAAGTGTAGGCTCTAGCGTCACTGTCCAGGCAAAAGGTCCTTCATACCACACTACATGCCGTGTGTTCGTCTTCAATGACCCAAATGCATCCGAAAAGTAGACCGTTAAACCGCATTTCATTTCATTTAAGGGATCCGCCATAAGGTAAATCAAATCTAAGACCGTATACCTTCAAATTGCTCATGTTGCTAGAAAGGTATCTCAGCCTGTGCTTGACACAAATCATGAATTCCACGTGCTATATTTTCCTATAAATAGCTGTCAAGCAGCATGATTGCTCTCAAAATGGAGAAATTTGAACACGTTTACACCAAAGTGTACTGAATTCACAAGGGGCAGGATCAGCACTGAAGACGAACCCGGGTCTGATTGCTCTTGACCATCCAAGATAAAGTTGATGCTGTTCGCGACACAATAATACAGGACAGACGAGTAACTGTTAGACAGTTAGTTATTGCACACGAAATGAGCAAAACATCAGTGGAACGAATAAACCATAAACATTTGCAGATGAACAACGCTTCTGCCCGTTGGGTGCCCAGAATGTTGAACGAACAAGAACCAGCGGCTGCCAGGCAGGATACGCCCACATTTTGCAAGAGGTGGAAAGAAAAATAGCTAAAAACAAAAGTGATTTCTTTGTACAATCAGGGGCAATAATCCAGAAAGTTATGGCCTGAAATGTGCAAATATCAACAGGGACAGAGATCTTTGGTATATAAAGATGTTTTAAGTTTCATCAAAATCGGATAAAAATTGTGACCTCTAAAGGGACCACAACCTTCTTATTACACACGTCTACACAATTTGCGTACAAAGAGCGGCCACTTTCTCGGGCAGTTTCATTCCAATTTTCCCGAAATTCGAATTCAACCTTCATTATGGTGGAATGGTGATATATTATAAACGGTTTTTAAAATCGGAAAAAAAATTGTGCAAGCTAAAAATGCGATTTTTCGAACAATAAGGAGCCATAATCCAGGAAGTTACGTTCGGATATGGTGATGTATTTAAATGGTTTTTAAAATCGAAAAAAAAATTGTGACCTCTAGAGAATCCGCAAGCTAAAAATGCGATTTTTCGAACAATCAGGGACCATATTATCCGCTATTATCAAAAGGAACCAAGATCTTAGTGTGTAATGGTGATATATTCACACGTTTATTTTTTTTAAGGATACAAAATTGTGACCTCTACAGGGACCACAAGCTAAAAACGTGATTTTTTGTGCAATCAGGGGCCATAATTCAGGAAGTTATGGTCCGATATGTGCGAATATCGACAGGAACCAAGATCAGTAGGTTATAAACATACATTTCAAGTTTCATCAAAATCAGATGAAAATTGTGACCTCCAGAGGGTCCACAACCCTGATACACAATATTTTGACACTATGTATTTGCGCACGAGCGGCGACCATTTGGTCCGTCAATTTCAGTCCGATTTTTCAAATCGGATAAAAATTGTGACCTCTATGGGGTCCACAAGCTAAAAACGCATTTTTCGTACATTCAGGGGCCATAATTCAGGAAGACACGGCGATCCGAGGGATATAAACATACATTTCTAGTTTAAACAAAATCGGATAAAAATTGTGACCTCTGCAGTGTTTACAAGCTAAAAACGTGATTTTTCGTACAATCAGGGACCATAATCCATGAAGTTACAGTCCGATACATGCCAGTATCGACAGGAGCCGAGATTTGAGGGTGATAAACCTATATTTCAAGTTTCATTGAAATCGGATAAAAATTGCGACCTGCAGAGTGTTCACAAACAACCGTGGACGGACGGACGGACAGGGGCGACGACAATATAAAAACGTCCGAGAGTCAGGTTATCAGGGGCGAGTTCAGGAATTTGAGTAGCGGTGCGTCCAAGTTTGGCTTGAGGTATGAGAGATCCCCCAAGAATTCTATAAAATCAGAAACTCTAAAACAATATGTCTGCTCATTTAGGTGCATGTATGTACAGGGTAAGAATGGAGAGAGGTCTAAACGGCGGCAATGATTCGCACGTTGTTTGTTCGGCGTTATTTCGATGAATGTAGGAGAAAAAATATGCGCTGCGCTTCCCCGAACTTCGCCGACTTCCCACAACTCAAATCTTTCCTCGGGGGCCGAAGATCTGGGATGGATGATGAGGTCATCACTGCCGTGGAGGAGATTGTATGGTTACGTAACAATCAGCGGTTTTCTGAAGGGTTAAATATGCTGGAGAAACGGTGGAACAAGTGCATTGATGTCAAGGGGGATTATGTTGAAAAATAAGTACTGCACATTACTTAGGAAGGTCGGAAACTTTTGGGACACCCCTCAATCCTGGCATATAAAGATAAAATCCATCATCAAATGCGGCTGAAAGTCATCAATCTGTCTAAATTGCCTCTATGATCGGGCCACTCAAATCTAAATAATTAGCACTCAGGCAACATACTGTGTGGACGGACCATACAGTATGCGTAAAATGGTCACCGGTATTCGCTTTTTGTACATTCTGTGTTCCAACTGCATATTGTAATCCTGTGGATAGCTGCTTTATATCTTAGACTAAGCACGACTGTCTAGGCAAATTAACACACATAGCAACTTCGTTACTTCGTCTAATTTTAACAAGGTTTATTGTAAATAATGGTAATTATAGGACTGTGACGAAAAAATAATTCAACTCAGAGTAGGGTAATATCCTTAAATCAAAAATCATGTAACATGGGGTGCATGTCTATATTTATAGCAATTTTGTTTTTTCCCTTTCCTGCCGGTTGAATAACATTTATTTTTGTGTTTGAATTTATATTTTCTTCAAGGTGTTGGAGAATATTAGGATTTTGAGATGGAAATCATCTACCGGTCCTAGAAACATAAACCCAGAGTCTTATCTTTAATACATGATTGAGACAATATGTTGAACTCTTCAAGTTTGTAAAGATTAAGATCATCGGAATTTAAATCAAGCGGTTACTAAGCAAGATACGCCCACATTTTGAAAGAGATGGGCAGAAACAAGCTAAACAAAACTGCGATTTTTCGTACAATCTAGGGCCTTAATCCAAGATGTTGCGGTCCGACATGCGTCTATATAGAAAGGAACAGGGATTTTTAGGAATATAAACATGTTAAATCAAAATCGGATAAAACTGTGACCTCTAAAGGGCCCGCAACCATGGTATTATACCATTGGGTGATGCTAATTGTAGGTCGGATTGGAAGGTTCGGGAATTTCCGATGATTGTCGAATCCATTCCCATAAATGAGTATTTTGGGGGGAATACCAACCCTAACACTAACCCTTTTTAGAAGACTGAACTTGGATCCAATTTACCATTTACCCCTCTTAAAGGGTTAGTGATAGTATTCCCCAAAATACTCATTTATATAAAGCTGCCACTGCGGATTAAACTTCAGTCCAATGTACCGTCGGAAATTCTCGAACATCCCCAACCGGCCTACAATTAGCATCACCCTATACGATTTGCGTGAAGGGGAGCGGTCATTTTCTCAGTGCTACGTCCGATTTTCACAAAATTCAAATTCAACCGTCATTATGATGTAACAGTGATATGTTTGAACGGGTTTTAAAATTAAATAAAAAATTGTGACCTCTAGAGGGTTAACGAGCTAAAAGCGTGATTGTTCGTACAATCAGAAACAATATAATGAAGTATACTACGGTCCGATATGCGCCAATATGGATGGGAACCGAGATCTTTGGGATATAAACATATGTTTTAAGTTTCGTCAAAATCGAATAAAAATTGAATTCATAAGTTAAACAAGCCAACAAGTGAGGCTGATGCCCCCTGCCACAATTCGTCCTTTTCAAAAGCAACCAAACTGATTAGCTATACTTAGTCTAAGTATAAAATGTTCACGATCAAACTCTGTAAATGATTTGAAGTACCTAGTAGTGAAACTCTATACTAAGTTTCATCACTCTCCATCAGTTAGAATCAAAGTTATCTTGTCCCAAAGCACCGACCAAATAAATTGTTTAGCTCTGCTAGGCTTTAGCGGGAAATGTTAATCTTGAACTCAGTCCTGACATTCACCTAATGAACATCTACATCAAGTTTAAACATTCTACTACCTCAATTAAAAGCAGAGTTGTTATGTTCCAAAGTCTTAACCAATCAAATTGCTTATCGCTACTTAGACTAAGCAGTAAATTCTCATCATCAAACATAGTCAAGGTATTGGTATAATGAAAATATGATCGGAATTTCATAGTACTGTCTGCACTGTCGTCTTCAACTGTGCAGGCTATGTAACAGTCTTTTTTTCAATTAGAAAATTATCAATTAATTTTTGTAAATCAGTTAAACGTGACATTTCGTTAAGATTTTGAGTCGCCGGCGTCGTTTTCTGTTATTATTGTCTTTAATTATTCACACATGGCCGTGGGATATTTGAAAGGACGGCTTTCATTGGTTGATTTAATATAGATATTAATTCCTAGCTAGTGATTGGTGGACTTAATACACATATTAAATCGATTTAATATCTATAATAAATCGATTTAATATACATATTAAAAACGGTTCTCTCACTGGTTGATTTAATACAAATATTATTTCCTAGCTAGTGATTGGTGGACTTAATATCGATATAAAATGGAATTAATATAGATATTAAAAACGATGCCCTCATTGGTTGACTTAATACGCACATTAAATGTTGAATTAA